TACAACGTTTTCAAAGCGTTCCCGCCGGGTAATCTTTCATCAAATTAATTGGCACAGCCAGTCCGTCAAATTAAATCTTGAGCAAACGGCTCGAATTGAAACAAATGCAACTCAATATATTTAAAGACAAGTCCGTCCATCACGTACGTCTTTTAAGTGAAAAACAGAGTTACAGCACATTGTTTCAACTTGGTCATTAGGAATTCAATGTGTGCACGTACTATGACATCGTTGCAAAACTCTGCAAAATTGATTGCGTTCGTCAAATGTAGCATCGTTGAATCGTCTCTTCTCGGTCGAATGATAAATACAAGTTTTAAGGTAATAAATATTAAAGTTTATACATCTTCGAAATTGGTCGATTGAATTCAGTAACCAATACAATTGACTTGACTCGACATGGTCATTTTTAACTTAACGAGCGCACATATGTCGTTGTCAGTAAACTTTGTAAACACAATTGTTTTTCAATGGGTTATCCTCGAAAAAGCGGTATGATTGCCTCGTTTCGTCGTTAATTGTGTGAGAAAAAATTGTAATAAAATAAAAGCATGTTATTCATAATGAACAAAACGACGCTCTTCGGTTTTATCGACAAATATCTCCTCATAAATCAGTTTAATTGTCGATAAACAGCATCTCAGTCCTACACGGTGCTTCGTTGTGTTTAAGAGACAAAAACTTGTAATAAAACTAAAACAACACGTTAATCGTAACGAATGAAACGACGCTCTTCGGTTTGGTCGACAAATACGTCATTATAAATCAATTTCATTGTCGAAAAACAGCGTCTCGGTCCCGACTTTTGTAAACTGACATGACTAGGTTGAAGTACATTATTCTGACCTGGACATTTTCTATTCTACGAGCGTAAATATGCCACTCTCAGTAAATCTTGTAAGAGCTGTTCAGCAACGTTTTATCCCCGAAAAAGTCGTAACGTAATAAAACAAGACATTGTTAGTTGTGATTAAAACGAAGTGAAATGACCACGTTGAAGTACGTCATTTCAACCTGGTCATTTTCAATTCAACGAGCGCTCATATGCCGCTGTCCACTGTCATCAAACATTCTAAAACAATATTTTTCGCAGTCGGTCATCTTCGAAAAAGACGTATCGTTGTGTCGTGAATCGAGTTTTTAAAATGGGAAAATACAAACACGTTAATCGTAAAGACTGAAATGAAATTTTTCGCTTAGTCCACAAATACATCATAACGGTTTTTTCACCTGCGAATCGTTTTAATTCAAATGTCGATAAACAGCATCTTCGGTCTTCACGATTTTTGTAAACTGAAATGACCATGTTGAAGTACATTATTTCGACCTGGACGTTTTCAATTCAACGAGCGTAAATAGCCACTTTCATCAAATGTTGCAAAGATTGGAAAAGTCGTAACACTATAGAACAACACGTTATTCGTTATGACAAAGCAACGCTCTTCAGTTTTGTCGACAAATACCTCATTACAGTTCGATTCGATTGTCGAAGAACAGCCTCTCGGTCTGGCACTATTTTCGTAAACTGACATGGCCAGGTTGAAGTTCATTATTATTTTTCGATTCAACGAGCGTAAATATGCCACTGTCATTAAATTTTGTAAAGGTTGTTTAGCAACGATTTATCCCCTAAAAGTCGTAACGTAATGAAAGAAGACATTGTTAGTTATTAATGAAATGACACTCTTCGGTTTTGTCGACAAATACCTCATTATAAATCGATTTCATTGTCCAAAAACAGCATATCTGTCCCGACTTTTGTAAACTGACATGACTAGGTTGAAGTACATTATTTCGACCTGGACATTTTCGATTCAACGAGCGCTCATGTGTCACTGTCCCACTGTCATGAAACATTCTAAAAGAAAATTGTTTAACAGTCGGTCATCTTCTAAAAAGACGTATCGTTGTGTCGGAGATCGAATTTTAAAAATGGGAAAAAGTACAATCACGTTATTCGTAATAAACGAAATAACATTTTTCGCTTTGGTCCACAAACACCTCATTATAAATCGATTTCATTGTCGAAAAACAGCATCTCGGTCCCGACGTTTGTAAACTGACATGACGAGGTTAAAGTACATTATTTCGACCTGGTTATTTTCGATTCAACGAGCGCTCATATGCCACTGTCCCACTGTCATGAAACATTCTAAAAGAAAATTGTTTAGCAGTCGGTTATCTTCTAAAAAGACGTATCGTTGTGTCGAAGATCGAGTTTTAAAAAAGGGAAAAATACAAACACGTTCTTCGTAATAAACGAAATAACATTTTTCGCTTTGGTCCACAAATACCTTATGACATTGTTTTTCACCTGCGAATTGTTTTAATTCGATTGTCAATAAACAGCACCTTCGTGCTGCACGATTTTCGTCAACTGAAATGACTATGTTGAAGTACATTATTTCGACCTGGACATTTTCAATTCAACGAGCGTAAATATGCCACTTTTATCAAATGTTGTAAAGATTGGAAAAATCGTAACGCTATGAAACAACACGTTATTTGTTATGACAAAGCAACGCTCTTCAGTTTTGTCGACAAATACCTTATTACAGTTCGATTCGATTGTCGAAGAACAGCCTCTCGGTCCTGCACTATTTTCGTAAACTGACATGGCCAGGTTGAAGTTCATTATTATTTCGACCTGGACATTTTCGATTAAACGAGCGTAAATATGCCACTGTCATTAAATTTTGTAAAGGTTGTTTAGCAACGTTTTATCCCCGGTTGAAGTACATTATTCTGACCTGGACATTTTCGATTCTACGAGCGTAAATATGCCACTCTCAGTAAATCTTGTAAGAGCTGTTCAGCAACGTTTTATCCCCGAAAAAGTCGTAACGTAATAAAACAAGACATTGTTAGTTATGAATGAAACGACGCTCTTCTGTTTTGTCGACAAATACCTCATTATAAATCGATTTCATTGTCGAAAAACAGCATCTCGGTCCCGACGTTTGTAAACTGACATGACGAGGTTGAAATACATTATTTCAACCTGGACATTTCCGATTCAACGAGCGCTCATGTGTCACTGTCCCACTGTCATGAAACATTCTAAAAGAAAATTGTTTAGCAGTCGGTCATCTTCTAAAAAGACGTATCGTGGTGTCGAAGATCGAGTTTTAAAAAAGGGAAAAATACAAACACGTTCTTCGTAATAAACGAAATAACATTTTTCGCTTTGGTCTACAAATACCTTATGACATTGTTTTTCACCTGCGAATTGTTTTAATTCGATTGTCAATAAACAGCACCTTCGTGCTGCACGATTTTCGTCAACTGAAAAGACTAGGTTGAAGGATATTTTTTCGACCTGGACATTTTCAATTCAACAAACGTAGATATGCAACTGTCAGTAAATCTTGTTAGAGCTGTTTAGCAACGTTTTATCCTCGTAATGTTCGTATCGTCATAAAACAAGACATTGTTCGTTATGAATGAAATGATGCTCGGTTTTGTCTACAAAAGCCATATTACAATTTGATTCGATTGTCAATAAACAGAACTTTTGTTCTGCACGATTTTCGTAAAATCGTCATTAAACAAGACATTATTTGTTATGAACGAAACGAAGCTCCTAGGTTTTGTAAACAAATGCCTTATTACAATTTGACTCGATTGTCAATAAACAGAAACTTTGTTCGGCACGATTTTCGTAAAATGAAATCACCAGGTTGAGGTACACTACTTCGACCTCGACATTTTTTTGTATAAATGTTGTTTAACTACTCACAACGTAAGTCCGACCTGCAAAAGTCGGCAAACTAGGGTCATTGTGTATATCATTCTCTAGAAAAGTAAATTTTTAATAACTCTTTCCGATCGATTTGCATAATGTATTTTTAATTAAATATTCTTGTGAGTTGTAATTTGTAACATGTAAGGTTGGATCCCATGTAAAATGTGAAAGGGATCTGAACTTATATCCGAACTGCAGATTGTCACATAGGTGTCATTGTGTACTTTATTTTCCAGAAAAGTAACATTTTTATTACTGTGAGATTTCGATCGGTCTTCTTAACAGGTTTCGTCAAATATTCTAGCCGACTGTGATTGGTTGTCACGTTTGTAAACATGTCGTATTACAGATCTAAACATAAGCCCGAACATCAAAGATCGGGAAATTAGGGTCATCGTGTTTTGTTTTCCAGAGGTTTGAAACATCTGGGATGAGTTTACGATCAAGCGATTGACATGTGACCTTTTGTGGATATGAATTTCTTGACAGTGTAAGGTTGTAGCCCATGTAACAAAGTTGTTTAACAGTCCTGAACATAAGTTCGACTTACAAAATTAGGTACAAAAGGTTCGTGTTTATGCCCGAGAAATTAAGCCTCGGTTACTGTATCAGCAGATTAACGCATGGCATTTTTTCGTCTGTCTTCTCGGGGATTATTAATTCTTTGTCACGTGTACGATTCTATCCCAAGCAAAAAGTAACGTAAATGTAAGTCCAACCTCGAGAGAATAAAAAATTCATATTTTGTGTTTTTTGTATAGTAACGCTTTAATTACTGTGAGTTTACACCAAGTCGATTGACCTATAAAGTCGTTCCTTTTATTCTCCTGGATATGGAAGTTCTTTATAAACAGCCCGAAACAGATCAGCAATTTGTTTCTTAATAGCAAAGTATTAAGCATTACTTACAGCGAATTTACGGTTGTTTAATTAGAATTTGCTGTCGCATGATAGGTTGTATTTCATGTGAAATTCCTGTTAAACATAGGTGTCATTGTGTACTTTATTTTCCAGAAAAGTAACATTTTTATTACTGTGAGATTTCGATCGGTCTTCTTAACAGGTTTCGTCAAATATTCTAGCCGACTGTGATTGGTTGTCACGTTTGTAAACATGTCGTATTACAGATCTAAACATAAGCCCGAACATCAAAGATCGGGAAATTAGGGTCATCGTGTTTTGTTTTCCAGAGGTTTGAAACATCTCGGATGAGTTTACGATCAAGCGATTGACATGTGACCTTTTGTGGATAATTTTGTATCCCATGTTAGATTGCTGTGAAACGGATCTGAACGTTAGTCCAGAGCTTAAAGATTGGCACATTGGGGTCATTGTTTTTTTTTTTCCAGAAAGGTAGAACCCCAATTACTGTGAGATTTCGATTGGTTAATTGGCAAACATATTCTCACGGATTTTAAATTGTCGCGTTTAAGGTTTTATCCCCTGTATAAATGTTGTTTAACTACTCACAACGTAAGTCCGACCTGCAAAAGTCGGCAAACTAGGGTCATTGTGTATTTCATTTTCCAGAAAAGTGAATTTTTAATTACTCTTTCTGATCAATTTGCATGATGTATTTTAATTAAACATTCTCGTGAATTGTAATTTGTAACATGTTAGATCAGCAATTTGTTTTTTAATAGCAAAGTATTAAGCATTAGTTACAGCGAGTTTACGGTTGTTTAATTGACGCAGGGCATTTGTCATTATATACTCTTGAAGAACTGAATTCGTTGTCACTCTTGTAAGGTAAAATTGTTGTACATGTGTATTAGTGCCGAACGTAAGCCCGACCAGCACAAGATTGGCACGCAACTTTGGGTCTTTTTTTCTAGGAATGTAAAGTTTCAGGTACAGTGAGTTTACAATCAGGGAATTGGTTCGTGACATTCTGAAAACTACATTTTTGTGGATTTTAATTCGTTGGGTGCGTAAGTAAGCACCGAAGGCCTAGTGCAACCTGTCTCTGTCGTTGCGATTGGCCACACCAACCGCAGTTCACTGTTACCCAATACTGCGTACAGTGGCCATCCATGTAAAGAAAATCTCTGACTAATTCCCTCGTGGTAATTCATTTTCATTCGGCACTATTAATATGCGCTGCTGAGTTTCCAACACATCGTAGGACTCAATGAGGCAACAGGTCTTGCGGAAGTAGATCGTATGCTGACTTAAAGTCTTCAATTCAAACCCTTCCTATGTAGTCTGCTGTATTATTCAGAGGACCATTGGGGAATCCCAGATTGATCGTTATTATTCAACCTGCATGTTGTAGTTAGGCTTAGTGTGGTTTACTTTTATCAAACAAATGACAGCAAGGCCTACTAAAAATATATAAAAATCACTTAGGCATGGATGAATAGGCAGGGCTAGACCCAGAGGTAATGTGTAAGACTTGTTCTGGTGATGAATGATAGTCACATGTATTTATATTGAATCTAGCCAGCTTTGGCGAGTGTTTTTGTTTTCATATCAACAGCCAGACTGTACCACACCGGGCAAGGACTACTTAGCGACAGTGTGTCTTACTGAGGGAGGAGAGTTGGCCAGGACGGATTTCGGTAATGGTGCAAAGCAATTTAAACATGGAAGATCTGGATGGTGACTTCAACCCTGTTTGTCATGCCCATCTTTTGGAATTCTGGTGGTGAGTCTCCCAAATCACAACTTCGAAATTTTCATTTTGCTCACTTTTTTCCAGTCTTTCCGTTTTGCACAATACAGAGCTTTGGATCCTTCGAGATAGTTTTCTACACATATGGGATGTGGATGACTGGACGATAGGCGCCGAATTCTTGCCGAACTTCATACACTGGATGCTGTCCACTCGACCAGCAGCACTCTCCACGTGATCTTTACCCCAAGCCCATCAAAGAAGGTTTGAGATGTGCTTTCAAAATGTGTGTAAACATTCGACCAAAAGTGTATCTCCCTTTTTTCAGTTGGGTGTAAACAAATCCATTCTAGTAGATTTCTGAAACTGTTTTCTTTGTAAAAGTTGTTACAGTGAGCCAGTGCACGGTACACCTTTTGGGAATTTTGGACCAACTTTTGCCCTAAACTGGCGTAATATCACCTCAACAGGGTTGGGTAAATCTTTCAGAAACTCTTCCAGAAAATTTCGTAGAAAAAGACTAATATCTGGATTATTCGGTTCAATGATTTACAGTATTTTTGAAGCCAGAGAATGCTTTTTATGGATTCGTTTTTGTTTGTTTGTTTGTTTGTTTGTTTTTTGTGTCTTTTCCTTTGTTTAAATCTCGACAGCCAGGGCACTGTACAAGGCAAGAACTACCTTCCCACCCGTATGTCTTGCTGGCGGAAGATGGACATTTAACAAGACGGAGCCATTGGAAGACGATGAGCGAGTGGAACTAGGAAGAACTGGGTGGAGATTTTTACTCTTTGCTTGATTTGGGCGCCATTTGGAATTCTTAGGGTAAGTTTCTCAAGTCAAAACGACAAAAATTGAACTCATCCAAAGTGTCCCCTTTTGTCCAGGTTCCCAAAAGACCTTGTATCAGTGAAACTACTGACTAAATGTCTGTTTTTCTTATTTCTTTCTGTTTCCAGAATGCAGAGCTTTGTCGGGCAGTTTGAGATGGTTTACCACTTAGCGGGACGTGGATCACTGGACGAGGAGCAGAATCTACCTTGCTGCACACTGCACAGCGCACAACTGTCGGCCGAACTTCCTCATCACTAACCAGATCTTTCCTGTCGGCCCGTCAAGGTATGCATATTCAGTGGCGCACCAAGGATTTGTCCCGGACTTGGAGGGGAGGGGTTCAGACTTAAATGCACCTTTGAAAAGTAGCTCATGGTGCTCAAGACCCCTCCCCGTTTTCCTGTATGGGACTGGGGATGTATAGCTCTCGCGGGTAACGATGTAAGGAGTGGGAAAGATGTAGGTTCATACTGCACACTGTAAAAGCAACGTTTACAGTTCAAGCACTTTTTGTACCCACTTTTTCCACACGTTCAACCCATGACATGTTTAGTAACTATGTTTAGGAATGTGTTTAAGCGCTAAACGCTTTTCCGTGGTAACCGTTTAGCTTCTGAAATCCGCTTAGCATTTCAACACATTCCTAACCTGTAACACTAAACATGTCGCAGTTAAACATGTCAAAAAAGCAGGTACAAAAAATATGTTCAGAAATGTGTTCAAACTCTAAGCGTTGTTTTTACAATGGATCTTTATTGTGAAAAAAGTATACCCAAACCTGTAAAGCCGCCCAACACTCATACATTTGGGTGTGCCATTGGGTGGTTTTATTCAATGCATGTAATGCCCCCTCTGTGACTTGTAGAGTATTCGAATAATGCCAATTGTATTTTCGTTGTTTTGGTCCAGTTACGTAGGGTTCAAGACACGCCCCTTTGCATTTGATTACTTGTAACTAATTTGCCGCACCTTTGAATTGAAAGTTAAATAGTACCCTCAGCGCCTTAAGAATGGCTGTTGAAGGTGGTTTGGTTTTGGATGTTTCACTTTAAAATCGTCCTCATGCAATTTTGGCTGAGATATTTTGATTCCTTTTCGAGGCCAGCAAAATGCAGTGTCCCAACTAACCTTTAAATTTCGAAAGTGACAAGTGTAAAAAACACTTAAAACTTGTTGTTTGCTGTAGGGAAATGACAAAAAGTCCAGGTCATCATGAGGCATTCTCTTTATCGCATTGTTGCGTTTGATCCTGTTGATCTTAAATCATAACTTAGTTTGTCCAGTTTTGTCATTTGCGCAGGTTCCTGAGGACCGACTCGAAGACACTTGTGTTTGATCGTCGATCAGCGTAGGGAGCTGCTCTGTACTCGTCCCACTCAACTTGGACGCGTTCTCTTATCATTCCGAAGAGGGAATTTTCACCGCGTTTTTTGTGAAAATTCACTCTGTGTGAAACTAAGGACAAGATATATCCAGGGTGTTCTTTGTTCACTCTAACTTGTCTTGTCATTAGTTCCAATCTTTGTAAATATGAGTATTGGCTCAGTGTACACAGTTCGCAACACACTACATTTGTTGTCAAGTTTTTACACGCATTTTGATTAATTTTGTTCAAATACGATTTCAACTTGTCAGTATTTGTGGCAACAATTGTTTTCTATTACACTGATAAACCGATACATCCACTTCCAATTAAATGAAAAGTAATCAAGCATATCAAAAGCTAAGTAATGATATTTTAAAAACAAAATGCTGCAAAAATGAGAAGAATATTAATAACTTTCAGTCGAAGTGTGTGTAAACGTTCGTCCAAATCTCTATCTACTTTTGAAAAATTTCATGCTAATGAAAAGATATCTAAAACTATTTCCTGGTTTAAACATTTATCTACTAAGCCAATGTATGAAGCCCAGGAAGAAACCCGTTGGAACTATTACTTTAAATGTTATTTGGTGTGTAGAAATTTTATTTCTTTTCCAAAATTCCAAATTCGTTCGCTCGCTCCAATTACTCCAGTCAATTGCACAAGTTGGTAATTCGTGCCCACGAATTACCAATTTGTTGGCAAGAATCATCAGTTAGTTTCCATGAATTACTAATACGTAGGCCCAAATTAGTCTTAGTGATTTGTTCGAACTTTAACTTGTCAATGAAGTACGTTTGCACAGATTACTCATTTACTTGCATGAATTGCTTCAGTAATTCTTTAGCAAAAAATTAGTAGTTTTTCTTTGTAAGAATTACGCCAGTAGTTCATTAGCAACAATTGTTAATCCATTCCATTAGAATTAATTACTCCCTCGCACAAATTACGAAATTTGTTTGCTTGAATTGCTCAGGAAGTTTCTGCGGAAACTAGTAGTTCGTGGAAAAGTTTCCAAGTCGTTCGCAAGAATTAAGATTTGCTTGCATGAATTTACGTTCGTTCCAACGAATCTCTCCTGTGATTTGACACAAATCAGTAATTTGTTTTTATCCACAAATTACTAATTCACTCGCACGGGTCACTCAGTAATCCACTCAAATAAATCAGTAATTTGACCCCATGAAGACTAATTCGTGTGCAAAAATGTTTTATTTGTTCACACAAATCTCAGAAGTAATTCATGTTTGCGCTCTAATAATTGTTAGCACAAATTACTCCAGTGCCACATTTACACACATTAATAAAGGTTTTCCACGAATTACTAATTTGTTAAGCACACGTTAATAATTTCTTTGCGCAAATTAGTAATCCAAGACACTAATTTGATTCTTCGGAATGAATATAGTACTCGCTACAATTTAAAATTACAAAGTGAATAACATTTCATCCAGTCCTTTCCTGGGGTATCAATATTGTGTAAAAAAAAAAACGATTTTGCGCAAATTGACGCCCTACGTTCACTGCATATCTGTTATCAGAGGACCATTACACCAACACTTTTCACTTGTGTTAAAAAATTTTGGTGTTATTTGGTTTTACATTTAGCACCCTCCAGTGCATTGTAGCAGTTACAGGTGTACAAAGTAATACCTTATGGTGTGGTCATCTGATAACACCAAAAGTATTGATTTTAACACCACAGTTTTTGCAGTGTACGATTACTAAATTTGTTTATGCAAATTACAATCTTTCTGTAACGTCAGAAGAAGCAACAACAGGTCATTATAAAATGTAAATTCTTTGTAATATCATCTCGACGACTAGTTCAAATAATTCATTTTCATGATAAATCTCCCGCTCCGAAACTACTCTAAAATTTGGAATCACTGTTAACGCCCTCACTGCCTTAAATACTTTATAGATTAACAATCTTTAAAGGAGACAAAACTGGCAAAAAAGTGCCGTTGATATAGATCATTCAATATTACGGGCATTTGCTTAAGCGCAAGTATTAGATAGGGGATGGTTACACTTGTGAGAATGGGTGCAAACGATTTCGAAATCGAAAGTAGCCATCTCCCCGTTGAAGAGGGACCCCGAAATGTACGTTTCTAAAGGCATTTGTCCTTGATATGACCAAAGTTAGATATTTGCACTACGAGTTTCACATATTGTTCAGATTTGTCATGTTGAAATGTAAGAATACGGGAACAATGTTCTGATAACCTGAATGAAAACTTGACATTTAATATGAAAGAAGAATAAAAGAAAATGAAATAAGAATAAAAGGGTTAAAAAAGTGGAACAGTGACTGAGCTTCATGTTTTTAAATCTGTTTCTGCTTACGTGTGTGTTGCTGTTCGTAAAAATGTAATCATATCACAAAGGAATGGGCCCATGAAAGCCGCATATTTCTGAAGTAAAGTGTCATGATCTAACGGACTTATTTTGTCTCAGTTTCATATCCAAGCTCACTTTTGAAAGGTCTCCCTTAATTCCGTGACTTATAATTTAAAAACCAAAAGCCGGTACGTTCCGACTTATTTCCTGTGATTCGATAACATTGTTACTAGGAAAGGGACAGGTTAAACCAGAATGGAAAGAGAGGCAAGAACTAACATGAAATGGGCAAGGCAAAACAGCTTGTCCTCAATTTAGCAAATTCTGTTGATGTCGAGCATGTTAATGTTGGTATCTGGAAATGGGGTTCCAAAAACCTGGAAAGGGAGGTTTTCACACACTGAATACGGGCGATTTACAATATTGCGCCGCCAAGATTTTGCAACGCGTTGGCTAATCACAACGCGCAAAATCGAATGCGGCGTTTGGAAACAGTCGACAGATTTCGAGCGTTGTGACTGGCCAACGCGTTGCAAACTCTTGGTGGTGCACTATTGTAAATCGCCCATTTTGAAGGAGATTTTTTTTTATTTTTGGTAACAGAGAATGAAATGAAAGCAATATCGAAATTTGTATTAAAGACTAGTGTCACTTATGCAAATGAATAATAGTAAAATTTGTGATTTAGCCATATCTAATTATGAAGCTGCATCTTAGAACAATGCAATGAGGAATGGAGCCCAAAATAGTCTGGAACCACCCCCATAAAACAGATTACAGTGAAAAAGTTTCTGGGAACATGATCTTGGGCCTCGAGCTAGACCAAAAGAGGGCGCACTTCTTCAAGCGACTGTGGCGTTTTATTCCCGCGAGCCAGCCTCGGTCTCACCAGTCTGGGCGAACTATTTCCAACTGTGAGGAAATTCACCTGACCTAAACTATCTCCCTTAGCCCTTGAATTTGATTAACAATCAAAGGTCCAGGGGTTAGGGGTTGTTTGGGCTGAAATATACCACCGATTGGTAATTGATTTGATGACCCAGTCGACTTACAATGAGCATGTGCGGACACAAGGTATTACTGGCAAGATCAAATGAACTTATTTAATATACTTTCCTTTAGTGTATTTAATCACTGAATTTACACAATTGGAATTTACTCATTTAGACAAGAGTTACAAAAGGAGAATAACGGAGAATACAATTTCAAAAGAAAACTTAAAAATCCGTACCCCGCACTCTGCAAAGTGCAGCCAATAATCTGCACTCCGCAATCTGCAAAGTGCCGCCAATAATAATCCGCACTCCGCAACTTATTACCTGTATCCGCAATCCACACTCCTACCTCGGGTGACTGCGCCCAAGACATCGGCGGATTGCTCGTGCTAGTTAACTAAACCAACCTAACAGGTAAACGGGTCTGTCAACACTCTGCCTGTCAAGTCTTTCACCACCTTCCGAGACGGTGACTTTCGGACAACCCTCAACAACTCTACCCACACAGTATTGTTCTACCCACGGTCCCTTCTGACCGATACTAAGGCCGTGTTCGAAACGGGCTTCCAGAGCTAAGGCTAGGTCTGTTTGTCTGTGCGTCTCCACGCATTTCCAATGGAGCGAAGACCTAGACCTAGCTCTAGACAAGAGATTCGAATGCAGCCTAGGAACATCCGAGTTAAAGTACACCCCCAAGCAGCAAAATAAAGACAGCTGGTAGTACGTTTTCCAGGCGGGTTCTTGCACGCGTTCTGCGTGTACGCAAAGACCCTACAGGGTGCAACACTAAAAATAAATTCCCATAGACAGCAGTGATAAATCCCCATACTTCACAAATATTTCAAAAATACTCACAACTCTCACAGGTGTTCAGGCTGCACAGAAAAATGATGTTCCACATGTCCTCTTTCATTTTCCTTTCAATTTTTGGGGGGTTGACCAATTGAATTTTTGAGAAATTTTCACCAGAATCAAACAACCCCTAAAATGCAGAAAATGTCCCTGTCCAGAAAAGTAGCCAGTTTGAAAAACCCTCCCTCGGCAAAATGGCTCAAATAGTGCCACTTTCAAACCAGATTGCATCCAAATTGCTCAGAATTGGAAGCCTTGAGTCCGGCCGAGAGGTTCAGTCTCATATTTCTTCAGTTCCTCAGTTCCATGGCTCTTGGGACCCTCAAATTTAGAATATTTCGAGTATAAAACTTTTATTAATGAGCTCGGCGGACATATTTCTGGCCTAGTTACGAGGGTGCACCCTACAAGAAATTCGTTACTTGTAGTCATGCAGCGAGTTCCCCATCAAAACTGCGCCATTGATCCCATCATAAACGCGCGCCTATGGGCTGAGTAACACCACATCTTTTGTTCGCTCGGAGCGGATAAGTCTACTACTGCAAAGGCAGCAAAGGGATACACTTTTGAGCTTGCTCTGTTTTGTCGCCACTGAAAATGTCTTCCCCACAAGACAAGCGAGCTTGTCGGATAGGCCTTGGTATTATACCTTTAATCGTCTTGTGTTGTTTGGTTTTTGATGCTAATGTTAATTTTGTTTACATTAGTTTAATTTTTAATTTAAACTTAATTTTGTTTTATGCTTTTTTATATATCACATTTTTTCCTGGTTATTGATTTTTACAATTTTTCTTTTCTTACTTTATAAAATATATTTTCTTTTACAATAATCATTTTGTAATGTATTGTATAATGTATTATAATATTTTGTGTGTGCTTTGTTTAGCGGTGTTTGTGATCATACGCATCCCGTTTATTTTGTTGCTCGAACTATGGATTTTTATCACATCAATTGCATTTTATGATCTAATTATTTTTATACACCCAGTTAGGATTTTTGATTTTTTTTTTTGGTTGGTTGGTTGGTTTTAACGCTGTATTGATGGTTTCTATTTTTTTATTTAAGTTGTCTATTTATTTTTAATCTTTAGTGTACTGTATGTGTTTTACTTTAATTTAATTGTATTTGTAATGAGGGCCCTTAACAATAGCAGTGTTAAACTGAGAAGGCTACCCAGTTGCGGAAGTTCGAAGCACGTATTGATAAATCACCACAAAAAATATATCTTTTGAATCAGAAAAAGAAATCACTGTGGGAGCGCATTGCGTGGTTCCCTCCGAGCAAACAATTCCGAAATGTTTTCCCAGCGCCTTTGAGCATTGTTAGAAAACTGGAGGCGACAGAGGCACGCTTATTTTAACCTCATCAAAAGAGCTGTACGAGGGTCAGTATTTTCCCTCTACCACTTCCGTCTACGACCCTGGTTATATTTCCGATTCATTTCACGCCCGGACTTCGTAGGAGAAAGGCAGGTTTAATTTCAGTTTCGTTTTGACAGATTCGATTCTCAAAATGAAGAGAAAGACCACACGAGGTAAGTGACTCCTAGTTGACACTAAAACCACCGGTTGAAACGTCGCGTTAGCGGTGGCGTAAATTTGTGCCAAAAAATTGGGGGATGAGGGATGAGGAAGGTGGGGGTGACTTGCCTGGCCAAGAAAGTGTGTAGCGCAAGGGGGGGTGACACCGTATGACACCATATAGAGGTCAGTGTTCATGATATTGATGTATAAAACTGAAATATGAATTACATTCATCCAGGGTGGCATGGCACACATTTTACTCATTGAGCAATCAACAAAGTTCTTCACAATGCGCTTTAATTTTTAGATCACCGTAAAAAAGTGGGGAGATGATTAACCCATCGCCCACCTCAAACGGTGGGGCATACCTACCCCACACTGCTGGGATTTATGCCCCTACACATGAGATCTCCCGAACATACAGTCTTGGGTACACCACATCATTGCTGTACCAGCTGGGCTATCTAGCTTTAAAAAATTAGGTCTATGTGCGCTAAGAACTTGCTGCTGTTAAGAAGCCCTTGACAAGGATACTTACAACTTGAGAAGAGTCAGCAACATGGGGCTGAATCGATTGCCCAGTGGATAAGAGGGCCGGTAAGATTGTTCCGATGGGGCCCAGGTTCAAATCCCGCTGTGGCAATAATTATGTTGCTTGTTCGTGTTAAGGCGATTCAGTTGGATTTGGCCGAAGGGAAAAATTGTTTATTTGCCAAAACTGATAAAGAAAAGGCGAGAAAAGGTTACAGCGGAGAAGGACTCTTAACAGTGAACAAAACTGCAGATTCTGCGAATTCCTCCCTGTCTCTCTTTGGGATAAAGTCCTTGCAAATGTACGGTATGATCCTCCAACAAAAAATACTTTTCACAAGAGCTGACACAGCTTGAAGAAATTCGTTTGAGCATAAAATCTTAGCTTTTAAATATTTCAAAAATATACTAATGCTATCCTCAGCAAACGTTAAGTGATCATTTAAACACCAAAATAAATTTTTAAAAGTGGACTTCAACATTATATGCAGAAAATGACCACGAAACACTTTTCCATTATAAAGCAATCACGTAGATAAAGTTACAGTTTGGGAAATAGTCTTGTAATTGTATGTGCAATGTATTTATGTGACCTGGAAAGACAGTGAAACTTCTAAATTTTTAAACCAAGCCTATTTTCCACTCATCAAAAGTAGGATTTAACATGTAGACAGAAATAACTTTGGCCTAAGGGCTGAGGAGACAATTAACTGGATGGATTGGTAAAACAAGAAATAGGAATACAACGTAATCAAACAGGTTTTGATAGTCAATTAAGAAAACAAATTAAATTGAGGATGTTTATCATTCTAGTACTTTTTCCATATTTGAACTAAATGTTGCCCAGTACAAGGGAATGGGACACGCAGGATGTAGCCAACTCAAGACTCAAGGCGGAACTGCACAGAACTACATTAAGAAATGCCAAAAGCAATAATTAGGGATCGTTGTTGGTTACATTTCCATGTTGAGGCGTTTTGCCTTGAATTAGTCCTGCGCTTTTCTGAAAGAAAGTTGGTATGGAGACGAACCCCGAATACAAAAGTTAACTCCCAAACTCAAAGCATGGTGAGTATGCATTCAGGAATACGATTCTAACCCCAGAGATATGCTGGTCAATGTCTTTATGGCACAGTATGGAATATTTCTTCCACAACAGTTCCATTGGTAAACCCATCTCTTACTTCACAGTCTAATCGTATATTTGATAAAACACAGAGTAATTCGTTTTCTTTTATTGATTCATCTAAAATACTGCCCTCCGTATCTGTGACTACGGAATTGAATTAAAAATGTGTACCTAACTTTGTGACAGACATTCCACAACTAAATAACTTGTTCGCTCATCACAAGAGCATAATTGGCAGGGACAGGACCATGTGGTCCATTTGTCTAAAAGAGGGTTTACCTGTTTTATATATATAAATGATTGTCCTATAAACAGTTAACGAAGTATATATTCAACTTTAAACACACGTGATGACATTTCACTAATGCTTTTTGGAGAGAATTTGGTAAATCGGTAGCTTAATTCAGCTAGTATTTCGATCTCTCCAGATCCATAGCTCGTGCATGCCAGTCCATAATGTTACCGAGCGAGGCGATCATGCGCATTATGCACACATTATATTATGGGCTTATCAGCACGTAGCCTGACCTTCAGAATTTTGTTAGCTCGCAGTGGGTTCATAGTCATGTCAGCGGTAATGAGCGTTTCTAGTTGATTGTATTTGAATGGAAAGTACACAGACTGTTTGAACACCTCTACAAAGGCTGCTATTCAAGGGGATAAAGGACTAGGGAAATCTTTTCTTCACTTGATGCAATGCCCGGGTGCCTGGGAATTTCTGTTTCCTTGTGTTGCAATATCGTTGAAAAGTTTATTTTTACATCATTCGGTGATGGGGAATGTTCACGCATTTGTTCACAGTGATGTCATGGAAATTTCCAAGAGCTGAGAAGCAAAGTTATTTGAAGCTTAGTCTATAATCATCATATCTGAAACAGTATAAAACCTAAAAAAACACGAGGCGGATCAACCCCCACAGACACACACCCATAGTTTCCGGACATTGCCGCGATGCAGTTTTTCCCCTGTGTTGAGCTTTCGTGCTAATGTTGAACAATTAATAGTTCTGACTAGAACCCTTTAAAAATTTCCGGCCCCATCTGTGAGAATGCAACCTTAGCCAATGGTTTAGGTTTTATGAACTCAAAGAGCAAATCAATGCACTGATCACTGGTCATTTTACCTAGCATTTTAACCCTAACATTATTAACAGAGCCGAGGTATTTTGGACAATCTCACAGCCCCAAAAAACTCGGCTGTGCCTTGCTGTATATATATATTTTTTTATCTTAGCTTGCATGTAAAGACATTCCTGATCATTACAAATGTGAAACTTGCACTCTATCAGAAATATGGTTTTGTCGTTACGGTCATTTGAAGTTCATGGCTACATGCGTGCTAGTCTGGGTGCATTGAGCACCACAGTGGGAAAATATACACTCGGGTGACCTGTCTCGAAAAAAGTGCGTTGTGTAAGAACAGTATGTCCGATTTTCACAAAATTAGTGTCAAAATGACTGCAAGGCATTACTCTAGGAACTCCGAAAAGGTCAACTATTAATTGCCTCCCCCTTTAACATTCTGACTGGTAATTAGCCATGAAAGGCTAGTCTTGTGTGCATACCGTGTGGTTGCATTCTGCGTCCTATACATGTATGGTGACTCGGAAAGTTGACTGGCAAGGAATTCGTACCGGCTTTGCATACCGGCTGCCGGACTGACTGGTTAGTTAGCCAATCGGCTTGGTCTAGTATTATGCTGGTTGACACTTTGAATGCAGAGCGCTATATGTGGCATCATTTTGAACCTGGAAGTACGGTGCTAACGAATGAAGTATGCGTGAGTGTTGGTTCACGCGCTGGTTCTCGCGCTAATGCCCTTAAAGGACATGGGCCTAGGGCAAGTGCGAGCGACGACTATAATTAACTATAGTTCGACAAACACAGCCCAAACGATGGATGGTCTGGACTGTCTAGTCGACCACATGGGACCAGGCCCCAGGGTCGAGGTTGCACCGCTGGTTATCAACAACCAATCTCATTTGTCATTACGGAGGGAACTTTTCACCTGAAAAAAAGTGTTACAGTACGTGATTTCAATGACTTCGTACGCTACGAGAATCGTAGCAAACGGCGAAATGCGAGTTACGATGAGATTTTTAAAAAATGACCGACGAGGGTGGATCGAGTGTAACAGAATTGCGCATGCTTACTGTGAAAAAGCAATAAGCCATTTTCGAGTTAAATTTGAAATCTGTTACACTGAGTCATCTGATTGCACATAAACGTAAACATTTCAATTCCTCAGACTAAAGACACCGCTGCTATACCTCGTGATTCTGGGCAAGCTTTTGCATAGCCACCACCATCTCTGGAATGGACTGGTTCCTTTGTGCCGTTCTTATCCATGGAGAACAGTGTATTGTTGCAAGGCGTTTCTAACTAAGCAAAGGCTTGCCCCGAAACTTGAGGTAAAGCAACAGGGTTTGTATGGAGAATTCAAATGGTTATGTTCACTTGAATTACGAGAACAGAGTGTTACAGATTGTATTCAAATTTAACTCGCAAAATCTTATTGACTGCTGGTCGAATTATAGTTCGTGCCCGAACATGCCTATGTTGCAAAGAAAATTGCGCCCTCTCTAGGTCTAGGTTCATAGTCTTTTGTCCCACTGACTGCTCAACTGGCTGGTTGGCCTTTTTGGTTATCTTGTGATCCGGCTAGCTAACTGTCTCAGTGTTTAGTTAGTTGACTCTCTGGCTCCTTGTCAATCTGGAAAGTAACGATTTAAGTGAATTTTAAACATTGGCTTTGAGCCGGCGTGTTGGCCAAGCGGAACTAACTGACTTTCCACCTTGATCGGAGGCACCCCTTCATCGGTTGAAAAAAGCCAAATGTTAGAGGGAAATCACTTGGTTGATATAGTAGCGACCGCAGCGCATGCATTTCATAGTTGGTCGTGGACCAGTGAAGTGCCAGTACCCGCCAAAGGAGCCTCTGTTGTTCGCTTGTCCCAGCGCCCGAACTGGGCGTTGGGAAGTGCTGGTGGCCTTGCACAGATTTTAGTAAAGGAAATATGTCACACGGGGTTGCAGAACATTGTGGGTAGATTTCTGCCATTCGCACGAACTCACTCAATGTAAATTCGATTTTTTTCCTCGTTGCTGAAAATATTGTCATTTTACCTCATTAGCTCATCCAAAACTGATAAAGATAACCAATGATTTGAAGTATATCTTCAATAGACATGGGATCAGTGATACTTAGTGAAAAGATTAACTACCTTGATTGCATCAAGGCCATGTTTTTATCATATAAATCGACATTTTGACTTATGCCAAAGGATTGCTATTGACAATCAAAACTTAAAATGACGCTTTGCTAACAGGGAGTGATAACCTAGCGGTCGAGTTGTGCACAAAGTAGCGAATGTCATGTGCAAAGCCACCAGTCCATCCCAGCACCCTGTTCGGGCGCTGGGCGACGAGGGAACCTCCATTGCAGCTAAGACGATTGCGCCCTCTCTTGGTCCCGCTCGGACCCATAGCTCATTGTCGATTTGGCTAGCTNGCTGCGTATGTAGCGACCACCATCTTTGGTTCCTTTGTGCCGTTGTTATCCATGGAGAACAGTGTATTAATGCAAGGCGTGTCTAACTAATTAAAGGCTTGCTCCGAAACATGAGGTATAGAAACAGTGTTTGTATGGAGAATTCAAATGGTTATGTTCACTTGAATTACGAGAACAGATTGTTACAGCGCCCGAACTGGGCGTTGGGAAGGGCTGGTCGCTTTGCACAGATTTTAGTAAAGGAAATATGTCACACGGGGTTGCAGAGCATTGTGGGTAGATTTCTGCCATTTGCACGAACTCGCTCAATGCTAATTCGATTTTTTTCCTCATTGCTGAAAATATCGTCATTTTACCTCATCAGCTCATCCAAAACTGATAAAGATAACCAATGATTTGAAATATATCTTCAAAAGACATGCGATCAGTGATACTTAGAAGATTAACTACCTTGATTGCATCAAGGCCGTGTTTTATCATATAAATCGACATTTTGATTTATGCCAAAGCATTGCTATTGACAACCAAAACTTAAAATGACGCTTTGCTAACAGGGAGTGGTAACCTCGCGGTCGAGTTTTGCACAAAGTAGCGAATGTCATGTGCAAAGCCACCAGTCCACCCCAGCACCCTGTTCGGGCGCCGGCGACGATGGAAACTCCATTGCAGCTAAGACGATTGCGCCCTCTCTTGGTCCGCTCGGACCCATAGCTTATTGTCGATTTGGCTAGCCTAATAGAAGCGGCCTTGGTCAGCTGTTCCCATTGAAAACTCCTTTTCTTTTGTTGTATTCCTTAATTTACGTCGAGTTTTAAGGCTGCATCCAAATCTGATGTCCAGAGCTAGGTCTAGACCTTGCCGTAGCTCGGCAAGCCCGTTTCGGACACGGCTTCAATAGCATGCAAACTTTTGTTTTTACCAGGGCACCTTGTAGCAATTTTTCTTCTCGTATTCCTGCCACTGATTCGAGGCCAGGGCACCGACCTGACTGTCGTACCCGGCGAAAGCGGTACGGACGTGGTGGATGCCACTATGGCGAAGGTGAACCGACTGGCAGAGGTCAACCCTTACCTCCAGACAGACAACCGCTTCCTGCGGCGCATCGCGTGGGTGGAAACCGCGGACGGCACGGCAGCCCACACTTTTTCCGACCCGAACTACCACGGGGGAATCTGGCGAGTGGACAGCGCCGTCTTTGACGTCACTAAGCGGATGGTAAACGAGCTGGCCTACCACACTGTATTTGATGACATTGAGAGGCTTTTTTGCATCCGCTGGAGTCAAGCCTCCTGGGAGGACTGTCGTAAACCGTTGTATTCGGCTCTGGCTGCGCGGTTGTTCTTTCACAACCAAAATTACATCATCCCACTGGTAAGTAAATATCGATCTGTGAAGCTTCACACGATCTGTGAAGCTTCACACGATCTGTGAAGCAATCTGCAATGTGTAACCGGATATCAACAACTTGCCCGCTAGAAGAGGTGATAGTCAAGAAGAAGGCGAAATGTAATTTGTTTTCATGAACATTATGGTGCCCCTTCGTTATAGCTCCTTTTAAACACCTCACCCACATACAGATTCTGTATCTTAATTGGCTGAAAGTGTTTCATGTTACACTTACAAGTTTTACTGTTTCTGTACCACCACTCCAAAAGGTCTATTCACAGGCAGCCTCCCTCTAAAAAAGAATCATACCCGTAGCAACGAAAGTACTTCGTCCGTAGCAACATGAATGGTACCTAGGCGTTTATGTCGTCTCATAGCATAAACCTTTACCTGACACTCTCGAACCTGTTGAATCAGGCTATAATTGAACAATTTAAGAGAACGAAAATGCAAATAGCCAGGCGCCCTTTTAACGCCGGTAAGTCACGTGTATAGTGTATGTTGTCAGTACACCCAGTCTAACGTCACACATGATTTGCAAAATGGAACACCAACGATTTGTTCTTTGGTGTCCCATTACTGATTTTTTTAAACTTAAATTGTGGAGAATCTGTGGGTGAGGTGTTATAAACCAAATATTGACTGCCTGATCTCTTGGTATACTAAAATTGCCCCCAAGGTGATCCACGGAGTACTCTATTTTCCCGAGGCGAAAGCAGTCAATATTTGTATACTATCTAACATCATACCCACTACAGGCTTCCTCAAAACAGGTTTATTATTTTGTTTTGTGAGTTCAACTTTTTTCCAGACTTAAGCTGAAAGGACATTTTATCCTGTTTACAAGTCCTCGCTGTGTTTAGGGTATTATGGAGCCATTATTGGGGGAGGTGGGGGGCTAGGCCCTTTGCAACCGAAGCTATACCTTTCAATTTTGGGAATACAATATTTTCCCCGGGGGGGGGGTCTGGACATTTTTGGGAGGGGCGGACTAAACTTCCCTTGCCACAAGAGCCCCGTTGCTAAAATAATCGCGCCCTCTCTTGGTCGCGCTAAGGTCTCCTGAGTTGACGGTTTGTGTGCACATGTTTAAAGTCCCTCAGCACCAAAGATCGTAAAGCGCCGAAGGCGCAAGATGGATAACTCTGCCAGAAGGGTTTAATTACAATGGGGTGCCATTTGAGCAAGCGATCGCGATACGCCTGCGCAGTTTACAGTAGTGCTTAGGTGCAGGCTCACCTGGTGCACGTGCCTGCCGCTGCGCCTGCGCTTTCGCATTACTGTGCATTGCGCAGGGGTATCGCAAAGTTTGCCATCTTGCACCGATCTTTACGATCTTTGCTCAGCACACCTGCATTATGAAAACCCTTTCACAACGTGTTAACCTCAATCATCAACCCGTATTACGAGGGTAACAAAAAGCACATGTTCATAATTCCTAAAAATGGTTTTGCTTTTTTTTCATCTTGGGCTAGGCTTTGGAGGTTCAAGCTGAGGAATGGTACCAGAAGTACCACGCCCAACCAACTGACATGGCAGAGAACTTTATTCTCAAAGTCACTGCACTTGAACAGACTGGTAAGAAATCGGGGGACCACTGCATTTGTGTGTAATACGGCTGTATCTTTAGAGGAAAATGTGATTTAACAGAGCACCTTTGTCGAAATTTCATAAGTAGTGATGCATGAAGAGATTTTACCAGCTATCTGTCTTGATGAATTGGCGACACGTCATCCGTCGGTTGTTTTGATGGGGCAGTTTATGGGGGACTGTCAATGATAACTATAACGTAACCATAATCTGAGTACGTCATAGAACTAATGCAAGAAGATAAATATGATGGCTCGTCGGTGCTTGCAGTGAAAGGATCCGTGGTGTTTTGACCAAGAGAATGTGCAAAACCCATGGACCCAGCCACTGCAGGCAACAACTTGTTTTGTTATATAGCTCATACGAATTTATGGGAAAGTGATTACAGTTATGTGATTAAAGTTGATTAGAAGTTTCATGAGTAATTGAACAAATTCAGGTAAATGATAAATAATTGAAAGAAAGAGTGTCATCTTTCTGTAAACATTTCTAAAAACAAATCGGGAGACAGCTGTCCCTTCATGTCACTGATTACTCCCGAAACTGTGTGCTTTTTCCTGTTGCCGTGTAGAATTCGCCACAACTTTTCTGCCAGAATGTTCTCCGTGATGATAATTATGATAATGTCTGATTTAAAAGTCAAAATTATGATTCCCATTTTTCGAACAACAAAGAACCTCTACTTTGGAGTTGACCTTTCATCTCTTCCGACATCAATACGGTGAAATTATCATAACGAAATTTGCACTACTAAAATGAGAAAAAAATAATATGAATGGATCAGTGACAAACGATACCGGAGCGCTTCGATGTCACCCTCGACACATATCGCAGAAGTGAACATACATCAATTTACGTCTGTAGCTACAACCTCGTGCCCTGACATAATGCAACGCAATCGTAACGGCACTTTCAAAAGCGGGAAAGACACCCCGTGGAGTGCGTGAGTATCACCCATGTCTGCCAAAGCGTATATCGCTCAGTTACATGTACTTCTCGCTGGTAGCCATACGCGTTTGTGGCAAATCGCGTGATAAGTGCTCAACCAATAGCAGTTCACAACCTATTACCGCGTTTTAATATATTCTGTCAAACAGACCATTTTTTCTGCAACTTCCCAACCTTTAAAATTCTCTCAGGCTATGAATGAGAACACTTTTACTCGACATCTTTCAAAGCTTCATATCCACTTCCCTTAGGAAATTTGGCTTCCTCGTTGACATATCACTGTACACAGATGCATGCTTTTCTGGATTCAGGCGCTTCTCATCCCTGTTTCCACGTGTGATAAAAGTTACCCAGGTACCAATAATATTATAATAATATTATATTATATTATATTATCTGTTTGTCCACTGTCACCAGGATGCGATAGCCGCGGGTTGGATCTTGTTTTCGTTTTGGATGGATCTGGGAGTGTTGGCAGCGTGGACTTCAACACAACCAAGAATTTCGTGTTGGCAATGGTCGACTTCTTCGACATCGGGCCCGATAAGACCCGCGTGGGCGTTATTCAATATTCCAGTTCACCGCAAATTGAGTTCCATCTGAAAAGCTTTACAGACAAAGCCCTCCTGAAAGAAGCGGTTATAAACATCAGGTACAAGGACGGTGGAACAAACACTGGTGAAGCCTTGGATGAAATGAGCGACACGAGTTTCCTGCCTGAAAATGGAGCCCGCCCTCCGGGTCGGGGGTTCCCCCGCGTTGCTGTGGTCGTGACAGATGGCCAGTCGCATGACAGCGTCACCGGGCCAGCGGAGAGGGCTCGGCAGAAGGGCATCGTGATCTTCGCCATCGGGGTGACGTCATCTGTGAACAGATTTGAACTGAATGCCATTGCCAACAAACCCAACGACACCTACGTGTACCACGTCAGCGACTTTGACGCCATTGTCAACATCGCTGCCGCTCTGGAATACACCACTTGTAATCGTAAGACTACTTTGAGTGGTTGCTATCTTGCTGTGTAGTTCTTTTGTACCGCAGGGAAAACCCTTTTGTGCATACCCCGTGGAACAAAAATATTGGCCTGTAAGATGGCATCTATGCAAACCGTGACGTAATTGACGTCGCCACGATTTTTTTTTACCAGGGGAAACTACTTCTTTTTCCAAACACGATAGGCCTAAATACCAGATTAGAGGACAAAGCACTCCTCAGCTACAGAGTAACGAGCGGGGTCAGCATCGAATTTGATCAATGCAAAATTAGTGATTTTCATCCCGTTTCATATCTTTTTTAATTTCTTTCGCTTTCCCCCTTGATCCCTTTAATTTGGCATGGGGGCACGCCCCTTGCGTTCTTGCAATGCCTGTGAATGTCATATTGGTCGCTAAACGTTGTAGAATTAAACGCGAGTTCATTGCCTGTGGACCAAACTAAAATTATCTTTCGAATGAAGCAAGGGGACAAAGGCAGTCTTTGGTTCTTCCTGCGTTCTTCAAATCAAATTGACTCAGCGTTTACACATATACCATTAACACGTATCCTACTTCCATTAAATTTCCGATAGAGGCCACCCAGGTCCAGAATCAAACAGTGACCGGTACCATCGATCGCAACGAAATTCAAAACTTCCAGTTGCCGATCACCGAGAACGGCGTGACCTTGAGCGTGAACGCCACGCGCGGGAACGCTGTGGTGTATGTGTCCACCACCACGCCCAACCCCAACGAGGCTTTCCACGACTTCCGCTTGGAGGCAGTGGCTGGAAAGGGGTTGGTAACAATTGTGATCACTCCGGAGGACTTGACCAAGACGTGCACACCCGAGTTCAGGCGCAAGCGCAGACAGGTGAGACGTGGACCAACAGAAATTTATTTACGTCTATTTAAAGGATCCATATAAGGAATTTTTCTTGGAATCACTTTTTGCTTATGTCTGCACTCTTCTTCAAGGTATGACATCTGTTTTGAGTTACATGGTTTGAATAGAGCTCTTTTTAGACAATCACAATTGATCATGTCTGTCCAGGAAGACACTGCTCCGTTTGTATGTTATCATGTTGATTGTGAATTCCAAATTTTCTATTTGAAAACATTTCCGAAGAAAAGGTCGTTGACTGGCTTAATGCCATATACGTACACAACGATGAGTTGCTACAGGAAACGAAACCAACGTATAAACAAATTATTGAGGTTCAGGGATTTATATGACATCATAGTTTTGCTTATGAATATGCAAATAAGCAATACCATGAAACCAAATAAGCTCCAGCATATGGGTTAAATAGCAAAATAAAAATATAAAACAAAGTTAAATGAAACCCAAAAGTGGAATTTCAAGGGATTTTAGTAAAATATTTCTGTTACAGGTTCGCTTTAAAAATGATATGAATCATGGATCTTCGATGCATGCGAGTCGATTGAGAAAGGCCTGAAAACGTTTTGCACATCAAGTGCTCGTGTGCACGCATTTCATATAGCTGTGTTTATTTCTCTCTGTCATCAGAAGGTGAATATAAACTGTCATATAATGTCCTTATCTGCATGAACACCAGGATGGACAAAAGAGGGCGTTAAGTAACGTCACAAGGAGACATTGTAAAAACAGTGCATAACAGTTCAACCTTTGGAAAATAAAAAGTACACCTTCAATCCTACACCAGTAAGATTACGTTCCTTCTTCCAATGATAATTGTATATCATACTTTTCCAGCTTTTTACTCGTTGCAAGGTCGTCTATTCGTTTTGAAAGGGGGGGGGCATAGCCCTGATCAGAACAGATGCGAGCACGAAGTCCTGCGCAGCGTGGGATTGGTCCGACGCCTGCTCTTGGGCCCCAGGAAATCAAGGCTTGGAGTAGATGCTGTGTGGTGTGATCTGAAACAATTTCTTGCTACTTTAGCCAGTTGTTTTTAACAGTTTTTTGCAAGGTGTACGTTTTCATTTAGGTTTTGGGTAATTGATATAGTATTCCACACGTGGAAAAGTGTGTTGGGGAGGGGGGACATCCCCCGTTCCTCCAGCGATTGAACCCCATGGTTGGGAATGGTTGCCTCTCGATTCTATACCCTCAAGTGTCGAACTGGTTGTGAATACAGACTTAGCCTGTCAATCCAACATCGAACTGGTGCACGCTTCTGATTCTTATCCAGGCGGACAGCCAGGATGACGCCAATGAGGGGTCCGTCATCGGAATTGCGTACATCACGATCGAAGGAGAGCAGGAAACCAACGACTTCATGTTGACGGTGTCGGAGGGCGACGTCACTGACCCATCCACGACCGAAGCACCCACCACGACGGAAGTGGTCCCCACCACAGTGGAGACCGTCTCCACCAAGCCTTATTCAACCAACGGCAGCAACCTTGTGGCTGCAGCTACGACTTGTGTCTTCCTGTGCATTCTCTTTGGGGCTCAGCTGGCAAAAACCTTCCTGTATTAAAATTTCGGATTGCCTGCACGTGGTTCCTGACTTGTTGAGAACTATAAACATGCATGTATACTTTCTCATGTATTCCCTTTAACCCTAAAAGAGCTGGCTTTTCTGTGACCGTCTGGCAAACCCCCACCCCCCAAAAAAATCAGTTTGATATAGAAAGTCGATGTTATGTCATTCAATAGCTTAACATATGTACCCCCCCGCCTGTATCGAATATGTAAGTGGAGGGTATGGATTTTTGACTAGCCTTTTTCGACAAAAATGGGCGGTTTGCAAGAATAGCAACTCGAATTTAAGAAAAGCACCCAAGCTCTTTGACTGCAAGATGTTAATAAATACAAAAAAAATCACCCAGGTCCGATAGGGACAGAAAATTGCATGGCGTGACTTATTCGTAAAGTTAATAGACCAATTAATTTCTTCGATAAAATTGTTAAAACAAAAATGTTTCTGTTCAAAATAACAAACAGACACTCAGATCAAATATGCATTTCTAGTCCCCTGTCCTCAGGCAGGAATCACGCTCTTTAAAATCGCACTCAGCAGTCTGTTATGTCACAGGTCAAGCTAATTTGTGTTACTGTAACTAAAACTGGCGCCCACAATGATGTGTATTGTTCCAGAGTGAATATCCGCTCCAGCATCGAACAGTTGTCGCATAATTTACCCAGAAAACCTGTGCAGTGCTGTAGTCAGTTTGTTACTTTGTTACGGCACAAGTTTAAATTTTCTAGTATTGTAGTTAATTTGAAATATTATTTTGTTAAGACACAAGTTTAAATTTTCTGATATAGAATTGACTCATCAGTTTTAAAACCCTCACTATTAATACAGTGTGTATCTGTGTTTTGGGTAAAGAATTGACCCCCCCCCCAATCGAAATAGACATTGTTACTGACACCAAAGATAAGTAGGACTGGAAGTCAGGTTCTGGCCACACATCTCGATATAAATTCAAACCAAAAGCTAAAGTTTAACTCGGCGTTCTCGATTTTAGACTGTTGATCCACTATAATGTCCATTTTGAGGGGGGACCTAGAAGGTTGTGTATTGATGTGGCATTGTAATACAATGGTTAGTAGCCAGTTTTAATCTGGCATATTTTACTCAGAGTAATACTTGACTGCTGTTTTTATTCAGAGCGAAGATATGAAGCTATAATTTGATTATAATGTCCAATGTAGGTAAACCTCCCACATTGTAACATTTTCATGAAAGGAACAGCTTGGCCTGTGCGTTTGTGATGAATTATGATATAAAGCGGAAAGCTTTGCCGTAGGCTTGTGGACTGTTTCTCGTATGACTCAAAACCAAAATTAGGACTGAAGCTATGGACTGAAGTTTCAAAACCATATTCTGGTAGGGTTGGTGGCTCATTCTGGTAGAGAAAACAATTTTACTTTGCGGCCGGTCCTAAATAAATACAAACTGACCGGCAGCTTGATCACAACAAAGTTGATTGCAACGCAGGTTGATCACTACCTGCTCGATATGTTGGCGGTACCATTTTCTCAACCTGCTCTCTGATCGGTTCGTTTATTTTGCAAATAAAAATCCATTTTGAGTTTAATCATACTGAAGCTGGGTCGACTCCATTGACCAATAAACAATTTAATCAACATAAGTAAATGTTAAAAGGAAAAATCACTCATTGCAAAGACTTTGGTTAATTATGCTAAGTATTAACCTGAGCACTAGTTTGATCATATAATTTTAACATTTTTTTTTTCAATTTTACTCAGAATTTACTATGAGGTAAAGCTTCAGAACCTAGATGTTTTATCTGCTGCCTTTGTAGAAGTAGGCAATTGTGTTTATCTTTATACTCGGAACAGTTTTTCATTCGTCGATTATTAGCAAAAAGAGTCAAATAAATTCGTGTTACCTTTTAGGTATGCAAAGGAGAGTGGCTCGAGTGTGCTATTGTATGAAGTCCGTTTTTATTATAAGACTTTTTATAATGTAATGCAATGTTGCCCACATGTTAAGCTTTCTGCAAGTACTTGACCTACAACTGGACGTTTTAAGCAATCACAAGTGATTACCATAGTAAAAGACCTTATACCATACATCTATTTATACCCCAAATCGTTTAATCACTCAGTGCTCGCAATTCACTGCACAGCGACCTCACCACAGTGTAGTTTTGTTGCTACTGCTTCCTTTTGTTGGATGGTCACATGACAAGGGATATTTTAGACTTTAATTGTAATATTTGAAAACAGATTTAAAAGCAAAAAAATGATCTTACCTCTGTGACTACACAACTGATTTCGTACAATTTAATTTAAAGGGTGGCTGCAATCAATGTTTGTGATTACAAACCTCAAAAATGCACCTTTGTGCCTCAGTTAATTAACCTTATTTTCAACTTTGTTTCATTATTTCAAAGTTTATTTTAACGCCCGTCTGGTTTTATGCTAATGATATTTCCATATTCATGACAAAACTGTTATGTCATCTCAGGAAGAAGCATCAATGTTACATTGGTTTGTACACAAAAACACTGGGGTTTTGTAGCTTTTCCTGGACTTTGTTTTCTTTTATATGCTGCTTCGTTGTTTATGTGCATATAAGAAAGCATCGATCCCTCTCTCAGAAATATTTTTAGTAAGTAAATTCTAGGTTGAACTCACAATTTGAATAGAAATACTTATACGCTGAACCATTTCTTCCCTAGATGGTTTCACAGCAACAGCGCCCTCAGTTGTCCGAAAAAGCATGAATAATTTTGATTAAAAGCATGAACTTTTCAGTGCATTTAACCAAATATGAGTGTAAAAGAGCTTTCATATATTGAAGAAGAGTACAATGATGCAGAAAATTTGTGTCTAATAAATATTCAGTACAGCTACACTTTAAAAGGAACCTCATTCAGGACGACAACAATTTGTTATCTTTAAGGGAATGAATCAAAATCTGAAACACGAAACTGCCCCAACCCGGAGAGAATGAGGCTGTCCTACTATCGACTGGATCCTTAATCATGTTCAGAAAAACTCCATAATTGCTACTCTGAAGGTTTGAACAAAAAAGTTATGAAAGTACTTTGCTAGGTTGTGGAATAGCCAGAGGGAGAAAAGACTTTTAACTTGAGTACAAGCAGCATGAGTGTCCAAATGCAATATCATCCACTGTTATGCACCAAAAATCTGTCTGTTACCGTGACTCAGAATACGGACGTTTCATGATAGTGCGCCCCCGAGAGTTTGCAACGCGTTGACCAATCACAGTGTGCGAAATCTGTCGACCCAATGCACGTTTGGAAAGGGTCGACAGATTCGCGCCTAGTGATTGGTCGGCGCGTTGCAAACTCTTGTGGAGGTGCACTGTCAAGAATCGCTCGTATTGAGTATTCATTTTCATTTGCTGTAGGCAAATTCGCAAACTATCCTATACGTTCAATTTGATTAGAAGATACGAGGTTACACAAAACATATGACACCATTTGATAACAAAATAATGTAATCTTACTCATGAATGATTATACTATGTTTGTTATCAAACGTACACAATTTAAGGTCTTCATGATTTTTCTGATTCCCTTTGGTCAGTTCGCAAGAAGGCTTGTGTGAACTTTTACTTCGCTGTCATGTGATCGTGGCCAAAAAAGAGTAGGCCTACAGGAAGTAAGGGGCCCCAGCCTCCGTTATGATATGGGATTCGTACCACTGAGTTGTTTCCAGTGATATCGTGAAAGTTGAATGGTTTATTTCAACATGAATATTCAAACAACACTAAGTCTTCCGTTAATGTAGCACACAAACGAATTACAGTTCTTGACCAGGTATACAGACCTGCTTTAAATATACATTTCGTGCGAAATCGCCTGCATATTTTGCGAAATAGATTGAGTTCCAATTAAGCCTGCGGCTTGCAGAGTGTATTCGATTTTGCGCAAAAAATGAATTTCAGTGACCAGTGCATTAAACTAAACGCTGATAAGACTGAATTAATGCACCCTCATTGAAATAGAATTTTTTTTGTTAAATACAAGCGGGAAGTTGAATGTTTTTGAACGTTTCGCTCAAAAACGAATGCTGCTATAACTTATTCATTTCACCTTTCCCAAATGATTGGCCGGAAAACCTAGTTGTTTCGGATCATGAATATTCAGAGTCGACCTAACATGTTTTGGTCCAACAGTCGAGAGGTCAAAGCTGATAGTTGGATGCCAGATATTCCGAATCTTAGATCGTAGAGTAGATATTGGATGGTTCAGGGAATCAGACCTATGTGAAATTGGTCGGATTCGTCGATCATCGTCGCAACAAAGAATCCCGCTGATGTTATCACAGTATTGCGCCATTTTCCGCGAACTGAGTCACGCTTAATAGGTAAACATCGGTGTTCATGTGTTTTGCCATCGATTAGTGAATTTTCTGTGATAAAGGATCGTTTAATGAACAAGAAGAGACATTGTAATTTGTAATAATTGTAGGCTAGGCCTATAGTGTCATTACACTAGTCTGAGTATTAACTGTGTGGTAGAAAGCTATGGGGCCTATCCGTTGCACAGGATGCATGGATGACGCTTACTGTTTACATGTACATTTGTACTGGACACATACATGTACCTACATGTAGGCTATGTGTAATGCACATATACATATAGCCCCACAAATAGGGCTGTGGTGGCTCTCTTTTACAATTCGTCTCTTATCTGTCGCCTGCACAGCCCTACTTCAAGGCATGTTATAGATGCCTGAGATTTAAACTGCAGGATTGTCACAATAATCTTCCGAATAATCTTCCGAAATGAGAATGACTCGACAATTTTACTTACACTCGTGTATTCCTCAGAATTTGGACTTTTATATGAGCACCCTAAAGCTTTCCCAAACTGTATATTTTCCGATGCACGTATGGCGCCTTGAAAAAAACGTCCTGTAGTATTACATGCTGACCACGGGCAGTGCCATTTTGAAAAACGAAAGCAGTACTTCTTGCGTCGGATTTCAGGGCACCCGACAGGTGCTCTGGTATACATTGTACCATATAAAACTGGTTCCCCATCATACCTTGCGTGACAGACGAACAAGGAACCGGTGAAATTCAATTTTAATAACACTAATATGCATGTCTGTATCATGCTCCAAACACGTGCTGTGGGTGGACTGTACACTAGCAATGTGGGCGCGCAACTTATTACTAAGCAGTACTGTGACAACATGAATTATGCATCGACGGCACCTGTCGGGTGCCCTGACTTCCGACGAACGAAGGGCTGCCTTCGTTTTTCAAAATGGCGCCGCCCGTGGTCAGCATGTAATACTACAGGCCAGGTTTTTCAAGGCGCCATACGTCAGAAACTTTACGATTTTTGGAAAGCTTTAGTGTGCTGGTATGAAAGTCCAAACTCTGAGGAATAGTGTAAAATTATTACACGCCAGTGTAAGTAAAATTGTCGAATCATTCTCATTTCAGCAGATATTAGGATTCAAAGTTTGTGACAATCCTGCAGTTTGGATTTCAGGCATTCAGGACACGCCTTGAAGTAGGGCTATGGTGGCGACAGATAAGAGACAGATTGTAAGAGAGAGCCACCGCAGCCTTATTCGTGGGGGCTAATATACATGATGTACATGTACGTGTGCATGATGTACATATACTCATGTAGGCCTACTGAAGTTAGAATACAAGTACTAGTCCTACATGTACATGTGCATGGGCTCAATTGCAGAATACCCAGCCACCTCGCACGATCAACTTCATAGCCAGGTAGGCATACAGGTCAAAGTGTGACACTCTTCTTAAGGAATTGTTGCCTCTTACCCACGTAACGATTCATTCCTGGGGTTATTTTTTGGAATGGCAGGGTATTCTGCAGTTGTTCCTGTACATGTACTGTACATTTTGTTTATAAGCTTATTTTGTCTGCATATTGCCAATTATTGGTGAGTTGCTGTACTGTAATCTGGTTATGGAGTTATACAAATCGCTTCTTTTAACATAGGGACATGGTCAGCAAAAGTACCGCTGACCATGCACAACCACAAGTGTTGAAAGAGGCAATTCGTAGAGTCCCAGTTACTCAGACCATTATTGTGATTATTGTGTTATTTCATTTCCTGACATGCCCGATATACATGTAGGAGGAGAGTTTGCTCACGTCATGAATTATCTTGTCCAAGGTTGTTATCAAAGGCATACTTTTTGCATTGATGTGGAAGATTTAGTTTGTGTTCACTTGACTTTCCTCAGAAAATTTGTGTGTGCACCGTATGTAAGCAGCAGTGGAGTCTCTGTTATATCAAGAAATGGATCTTTCTACAAAGACCATTAAACTTAAAGCACTTTGCTTATGAATACCGATAGAAAGCACATGTACATGTAGGAATATTGTTTTGAAAGGAAACAAAATAGCCTCAATTTGTAATAAATCTTCCAGTTTGCTTGTTATTGGCTCCATTTTGACTCCAAGATTTATTGCAGTTCAATTTTTTTACATGCAAGTCCCCAAATCATGCATTGTGCACATTCAGTTTCCATAGCAGCAATTGTAGGACTGTTTTATGGTCCAGTATCCGCTGCCTAACATTAAACAGTTTCTCATTGGAACTGTTGTGAAAATGGAGGAGATGACTCATTTATTTCTTTTGATAATTTTTTGCCATAGTGGAATTTTTTAGACCATTTTGCCAATTCTTTGTTGCTAAAATCAGGAGCTTTGATACTTTTTAAACTTGCGTATAGATGGTTGCATATCTTGTCAGAAGCCAGTAAACTTCCAAAGTACGTGCCCAAATTTGACCAACAGTAGGGTAAACAGGACATGGGTGGGAAAAAAGGAAGTAGGCGGCAGGTTTGGGACTAAAATCCAGATTTCTTAATAACTGAAAAGGAAAATTTGCTCTCCAAATTAATGTTTTGAAACCGAATATCCGAAACTGAGCATTTGAAACCAGATATCAGAGAGAAAGTTGTCTTTCAGAGACTAGTTCGGTTTGTGTTTTTGTTTTACTTGGCCTAACAATGCAGCCATCAAAGCTGTCACATGTATTAAAGGTTTTGACGTTTGATGCAACCACCAGAGACCCGGCAGCAGATACAAATATGAGACACAACTGAACTGGTTTGAGCAGGCGAAGAGCAAGGGCGATATAGTGCCGTCAAGATGGACGGATTGCAGACGGAGTACCAGCGACTCGAGTCGACCGACGATGCTGACCATGATGAGCGAAACGTCATGCTTCACGTTACCGATGACAGTGGAAAAGGTTAGATGATAGAGTCCTCATTAACATGCAGACTGCCGACTACGAGTATACTCGTAGGAAATGAAAGGCTATTGTAATGTAAATTGAATCCGCAGGAATCACTGAGAACAAATACAATGCAGGCAGTGTTGAGGGCATACTGTACATCTGTAAAATACTCTTACTTAAATAGACATGTGAAAAGTGTACCTATTAAATATGTGCACATGCGTACGATGCTTGGCAAATGGGAACGCCCCTTTGAAATTATGCGCGACAGTCAGTGTGTCACTAATGTTTTGGTGTACATGTACATATTGCACCCAGAATTTCACCCAACCATACCAAATCCAACAATATTCCCCATTGTACAGGTAAATGTGCATGTTAGACTTTTATCATGATGCTGCCATGTTTGTCTTGTTTCCTGTAGACCCATTGGTGATAGTAATATAGCTTTACATATTGATAAAAGGGAATAGACTATTTTTCCTTCCAGCCTCAGTTTGGTCACCTTGCTTTGAATGGTAGAAAAGCAAGATGGCTGCCCAATGGTCTATGACACTAAACCTTGAGGGTAGGGGTAGCTACCAAAGTTGTTATTTTAATAGGCCACATGCATCCACTCACTATGCAATTGGTGATTCAATTTCTTTCTAGAATTGTTTGATAATTACATGTACATGAAACTTTAAACCCCTTCTAAGAATTGTGTCAGTGCACACAAGCCAAGGAAAGAAAAAACATGTTTAGTGGACTGGTTTTTGAAAAATAGGGAGGAGAAGGGACTTTTTTTTTTTAAGATGGCTACCACTTCCCTAGGAATTGACCTTTTTCGTTTTGTTTTTTACCAACTTCACAAAATTTATAAAAAATAAATTTAGGTGTTAGTCATTTCCCCTGTATCCCCTTCAACAATATAATACAGTTTCACAAAAAGGGAACAGACTATTTTTTGTACTTCACCTAACTTCATCCAACTGAAACAATTCAACCTACATGTAACTCTAATGTAAAGGTAACCAGACCTACTTTTCAGATCTTGCCCATGGATGGATACTTCTTGCCTCATCAAATTCTGTTCAGATACATGTATGTGTGCTTGGTTGCACACATTTGAAAATGACATTTAGAATGATTATATTCTCGTTCTCATTTCTCCAGCAGCTCGATGGAATCACATCGAAAACCTGGATGAATTCTTCACAAGAATATCCTTTCCAGAAATGTTGTTTTAAAAGGAATCATTCCAACTTGTCAATCTGCCCTGACATGGCACATAATTTGTTAAATGTGCCACAGTTTCAGTGTGATGTACTTGTAAGTGCTGTCTGCTGTTAACCCTAACCTTCCCCAATCACACAGAGTAAAACAGTAGTAGAGTGTTTAATTCTGTGAGGATAGGTCTGGTAGACCCATAACAGCTGGCTTTTGCATTGGGTTTGGCATACCTCAGAAAAACTAAGTCTCAGCCTCTGTGCACAAAGCCCCATGTGGGTGTTTAACTTTGTGTGAATGGGGAAGGTTAGGTCCAGCAACCCTTGGGCAGGTAGGGTTAAAGTACAAGAATATATAAACTAAACTGTAATAATAATATTAATCTAGTCATTTCTAGACAATCTGCGTCTTGTCATGTAATGGCAGAGAAGGCAATATACCCAGTACATCACCAAAGAAAATGGGGACTTGAGGTATACTGAAAGTGCTATGCAGACGTGTTACTATGTTTGTGGACATGACCAATCTTTTGCAAAAACTTTTGAGTAAAGAGTTCATCCTTCCACATGTACATGCTACCAAAGTGAACATGTCTCATTTTTGATTTTGGACAGACGATTCTGAAATTCTCTGCCAAATTTTTTGATGCTACAACTCTTACAACTGTGGCCCAGACAGTTGATTTCTGTGGTCAGTAATGTACACATGCACACGTTCATAAAGCTATATGGAATAGTGCATTTTAAGTAGTGTTCAGGTTAACTAACGTAACAGTATCAGAATATATGTATATAAAAAAACCACAATATATAATCAGTGCTCTGAATTCTGTACATGTAATTGCCGAGCTTTCAGTTGCTGACAAAGGTACAGAAAGCTCGGCAATTATATAATTGAGAGCACTGATCGTATATTATATTTTTGTCTATATTCTGATCATGGTGCTATATAGCCCTTTTATATTTTTTTGAATATACGTAGTTTGTTTGACATAATTGAGGTTTCACTGTGTGTTTGAACCTTTTCCTTAACCTCTGAACACATCTACCATTACCATCAAAAGCATGGTTACCTGTGTATGATGATGGCCCAGGTGTTTGAGTTGGTGTAAGTGCAGTCAACCTTGATGGTTTGCTTTTTGCCTAACTTTTGTTGGATAAGAAAGTTCTAGTGTCCACCACTGTGCAGGAACCCACATACATTGTAGATACATGGAGGAGTGTAGTACGCAGTTCGCACTGGTGGACATAAGAAGCATCTACATGTATAGTCACCAGTGTTGACCAGATTCACTGGTTGCCAGCATTTCACTGGTTACATGGTCATCAACCGAGTCTGGCTACTTTTTTTATTAATAGAAAAATTCATGTTGTCTAGTAGAATTTCTTTCCAATCTCTTGTGCGCACAGAGATTTTCTAGTAAATCCACCCATATTTTTCTCAAGCACAGTGCAGTTTGAAAGCTCGCCAGTCTGTCATTCGTACTTCGTTTATTTGCACTTCAGAAGGAAAAACAAGGCCAAAGCGGTCAAAAAGTAGTTCAGAACTTTTACCAAATATGTCTTGCCTTTTTTTCAAAAGTCAGATTTTGTGAGCCCTCCAAAAGTACTCAGTGTGTATGGTTGAACAGTATTGGAAACATCAAACCCTGTGGAAATACATGCTGTCTTGCAGTCATTGCACAAGTTTAGGACCACACATACAAAATGTATTAACCTGACGAAAACCAAATTTAAACCAATCAATTATGGCAAATTATGTGTTTATTTTCAATGTGTAATCTTAGTATATTGGTTAAACATCTATTTGACTACATTTCCATGATTTGAAATGCCAAAAGTCTAATATTTAGTGTGCCGTCCTTTATTTCTGATTACCTAGACTGGCTTTTTTCATTATGCTGCCTTACACACAAAATGTCATCAAAGACCTGCCTTTGCATTCAAATGGATATATAGCGCTACACTGATTTTATGCACCTCTGTAAAGCATGTTACATGTAAGTAATCATTCAATGAGACTTCAATGAGACAATGTAATGCAGGCACAGTGACAGAAATACATGTACCTTTACCAATAAAATTGCAGATGGTCTTAACCTTTTGCAATTGACCGTAATTCAAAGTTGGTCTTGGGATCTGGGAGAATTGTAGATTGTGATGAAAGCTTGAAATATCGTAAAATCAGGACTTGATTTGGGGTGCCAAGAGAGAAAAAAAATCATTTGTGATTTTATCTTCAGAAAAACGAGGCGTGCTGATGTCATATTTTTACAACTTGCAGGCAATTTGTGTTCATCGTGCTGTTCTCCATGTTTCTGCTGCGCTGCGTGGATTACAACATCCTGTTTGGGGACACGAAGCCGGAGGGTGTCACCAAGGTTGCACTGACCGATGCCTTCATACCCCTCAACCAGTGCTCCAAAGAGTAAGGCGGGGCTTTTTCTTCTCTTAGAGCTCACTTTCGGGGCTATTAAAATTAATTAAATTAAAATTCTTGATACAGTTTGATTCGGTGTGATTTAGTTTTGCGCATCTTTTTCTTAGTCCACCAGCAGTATTGGTGATTTGCATCATCATAGCTGGTATCTTCTGGGTTCATCGGCTCATCCGTTTTGTCTACAATGCCCTGCATTACTGGGAGATCAGGGCCTTCTATAGGATAGCTCTGAAGATAACTTCAGTAAGTACCGTCTAGAAGTGATTATTATTTGAAGAGCACAAGGCTCATTCATGCTTGTAGCTTTCTAGCACAAATCTAGACTTGAATTTCTAACATTTACTCATTTTTGGTGACCTCCATGTAAAATTTCACCATTTTATTGAAATGGAGCCACGTAGGTGCTCGTGTTGGGTCCTTTTTTTCCCTTGAAAATGTTCAGTCAGAAATATGGTTCTGTACCTTTTGAGGAATGTTTCACAGATGGCTCAATTCAGTCACCCAGTTTTTGCCAGCAAGCCGAGCACCCAACTCCTGCCTGGCTCAAATAATGGCGATGCGTCTCTTTCTGAGTTGCTCATCCTCTATTTGCATGTCTACAGAATGATCTACTGAACGTGACGTGGCACGACGTCTTGAAGCGAGTCCAGGAGGTCCAGAAGGAACAGAGAATGTGCATACACAAAGCTGAGCTCACGGAACTCGGTAAGGCCAGTCACCCGCAACGAAGGCATGCCAGGGACGCGTCTCTTGTTGGACAGAACTGGTGACTTGGATGTCCTGTGCTGTGGAACTGTTCACTTCCTGGCACAACAAACAAAATAACTGTTCTGTATACATGCATGCCATGTTGTAATCAACAATTAAACTTGCGCAGTTGGTGATGCTAGTTCTATATGGTGCACAAACTACAAGTTGTGCATATTATCTGGAGCCAACAGAGGTATTATAGTAAATGTACATATATAAAGCAGACGTTTCCCTGGGACTTGTAGACCTGTCTGCGTCAGTTGCTGTGGCCCAGCGTACGGCATGCACTTAATTACATGGCCACTTACGCAGTATTTGCAAGCTGCATCAGAGGTCAAAATGGCAATCACCCATTGGGCTGTCGTTTACTTTATTTTAATGAGGTATATGAATGGAGCTTTTGGGACTGACGCTTGCATTGTAGCCTCTGCTCAAGGCACTGTTGGTATTTTGTGTGTGACGGCATTGACTGCAAGTGCATTGTGTTGAATGCTCAGTGCTGACATCAAGGTGGTTTTTCCTACGCTTGACATCACATCTATTCAGGCTTCAGGCTTAAGTTTCATGAATTCAGTTACCTGAAGCTTGACCAATAACTATACTTTTTTCATTTTTTGCTGCAAAAATGTTCCATTTTCTGATGTTAGCCCAATGTTTGGTTGTCGTTTATTTGGTTGGAATATCTAAGGTGTCATGGCTGCTCGCGGGTCCAAGATAAAGATGAAGCCAACGATAAAGCTATGATTTGGAAAACAACTTGGATTGGCAGATGACTTTCATCATGGCATTTGGGGTGAAAATACGCAGAATGACCAAGCTAATTTGGTATCATTACAGTAATTTTAAAATGGAAAGTGACTTCTTTTTATGCTGCTTAACAGAACTGACCTGTGTTTTCCTTTTTTCAGACATCTATCATCGTATTCTCCGATTCAAGAACTACTCCATAGCCATGGTCAACAAATCGCTGGTACCACTTCAGCTCAGAGTTCCGTTCTTAGGTGAACTGTAAGTAGCACCAATTGATTTTGGCGGGTCGTAATTTCTCAAGATTTTGCCAGACTACAGGATACTTTGCACAAACGTCCCTGCCTTTAAGAGGCTTCATCCTCTAGATTTGCTATTTTTATATTTTTTAGGGAAAAGACTTATGCCCTGTTGACTAATAGCCAGTTAATATTGGACTTTCTTACCCGAAAAAGCTGCTGCGGCGGGTTTTTTTTACCCGCAAAGTCCTTAACTGTGCAATTGCACTTTGACCCAACCAAGCACGACACATAATACGTCAAGCAAGGAAATAAAAAAAATTGTTAACAAGTGTACACATCCACCATAAAACCAATGAGGAAAATTATGTGTGTTTACACACCATCCACTGTCATGTGGTTAAAGGCCTTGTACAGTCACTGTAGCCAACTGTCGAAGTTGTTACAATCTCTTTGCCGGATAATTTGGGTATTTTCCTCATCCTCCAATTTCACTCCAGGTTCTGCATAAGAGATAAACCTAGACCCTGGAAGCAGGTGGCTCTGTATGAAATTGATTCTTTTGTTTTCTTCATTGCAGAGTGATATTAACAAACGGACTGAAATACAACCTTGAGATGATCCTCTTCTGTGAGTATTGTGTCGTAGTATTAGTTGCTCGTTATAATAGGTGCTGCCTTTTTCAGGTCTCCTAACGTAATGACAGGATGTTTTGGATACATGTAAATTTTAGGGATAAATATGAAAGTGTTGTGTAGCTCTGCAATGCTGTGGTGTCATTGGACTTGATATTTTTGACACGGTCATCACAAGCCAACACTATACCCTGTGTTGAAAACTTGACATTTTGTGAAAAACATACATCTATTGTAAAATTGGAGGCAGAATATGTCAGTGTTGTATTCAAGTCCATCATGAGTCCTTTCACAAGTCCCATCACGAGTCCTTTCACAAGTCCCGTCACAAGTCCTTTCACAAGGCCAGTCATAAGTAACAGCGCGAACAATGACAAAAGAATGTTTTTGTCACAGCTCATTTGAATAGCTTGACATGGTCATCACAAGCCAACACTATACCCTGTGTTGAAAACTTGACATTTTGTGAAAAACAAGACTGCTCAAGACTGAATGACTTATGATGGACTTATTGGGCTTGACTACAGCACTGGAATGTGTACAAGGAGTCGTCATGTACAAGAAAACGCTAACAGGCAATGGCTTGGCATAAGAAAAACGATTGCAGTGGTGTAGCAAAAAAATTTGGGAAGAGTAACATTTCATAACTTCTCTCCTCGGTTAAATTCGGCATCTACATATACCTTGGAGCGAAAGGTAGTTTTTTTGGGGGGGGGGTTGCACAAAGTGCACATGTAATTTAGTCTGAGAACTTGCAGAGGGTGATTCTAGGCCCGTTCATGAGCGAAGGGTTCATCTTGTCTTCTTTTTCTTGTCAGGGGGGCCATGGGCTCCCTTCCAGAACTACTGGCATCTCAAGGAAGAATACAAACGTGCTGCCAAGAGAGAGGAGCTGGCTAGGCAGTAAGACAGCCTGTTATCTTACAGTCTAAAAGTTGTGGGACGATGGGAACAGCATTGAAGTCAAGACCATCACAGGACCATCACAAGACCAGTCATGAGTAACGGAGTGAATAGTGACAAAGGAATGCTTTCGTAGCAGTCCATTTGAAAAGCTTGTGACTTGAATTCAGAACAGAGTCTTTGTTCTTTGGTCTTTGTTCTGGTCTTGAGAGGTCTTTGCTGCAATAATAAGAAGCATTTTACTAGACGGCTGCCCACTAAAAGAGGCATGGGTGGACTAAATATATTCTGTTCCATCCGGACTGGCGGTAAGTCCATCACTGGTGGTAAAACCACTTGTGTGGGTTGGAAGTGGGTGTGAAATAGGTCACCTAGAAACGCAACATTTTTCCAGAAGCTGGACCCTAGCCATTACACCATCCAGTCCCAACGGGTGGCACTGCAAGTCAGCAAGTCCTGAGGTATGACTTGGGGGGGGGGGAAGTCCTTGAATCTTTACTCTGCTGATCAAACCTTTGAATACCTGTAGACATCTATCATGGGGTTGCCGTCTTGCTTTTCTACCATTCAGAGCAATGTAACCAAACTGAGGCCAGAAGGCTAAATAGTCTGTTCCCTTTTATCATTTTGTGAAGCTGTATTGATATTGGCAAAGGGGCTACAGGGAACATGACAAACATGGCAGCATTATGATAAATGTCTTTTGGTGGTGTCCAGACAGCAAAGTCTGCCGGAAGAAGGGTAGATTACACATCACCTGTTGTCTTGTAACATTGTTTGCAGGTTGTCCAAACATATCCTCTGGATAGCTCTGGCAAACTTCGTTCTCTGCCCATTCATACTGCTCTGGCAAATTCTCTACTCATTCTTCAACTACGTGGATCTCATCAAGAGGGACCCTTCAACATTAGGAACTCGTAGATGGTGAGCCTGCGTGTGTGATTATATGTCCAAATTTCATATCTGTCGCTGCGTCCAAAACCATTTGGCTGATTGCAGCTGAAGGTTTCCACACACTCATGAATGGCTGCAGGACAACACATGACAGTAAAGATTAATTCTGATTGGCTAACTTGGAAAATGTTATGGTACATGTACTCGCCCTTGTTCCCAGGGCATTTTGCGTGATGGCTTATGGCAAAATGACTTTCTGGTATCTGTGCATTTATTTTTGTTTCCAGGTCACTGTATTCCCGTCTGTACTTGAGACACTTCAATGAACTGGACCATGAATTTCAGGCTAGGTAAGCTAAATACCCCTAAACGTGTAGATGATGAATACAGTGTTACAGAGTACGAAAGTATGATGACGCCATTTTGAACCAGAAAGTGTACTGCAAATAAGTGGAGTACGCGCGCGTGTTGTTTCACGCGCTGGTTCTCACACTAATGCCTTTTACTCACATATTGTGTGCGTAACATGTTCACTTACTCTAACGACTCGGCAGCTCCTGTGTCATCTGACGCATGAGGTGGTCAATCCCGTCCTGGTGGACCGGTCAGCTCAGCATCGTAATATCGATCCGTCTCCTGTGAATTCACTGAAGGTCCTTTTGTATGGTCTGGTGCCATTTCAAGAGAAGATAAAAAGTCCAGCCTTTAATGATATCGATGAACAAATTTTCAGACTTCAGTGTACAGAAATTTTCTGTTAATGTACTCTGGCGTAATTAGCCTGAAAAAGGCGGTATAATCAATTACCATTTTAAGCATTTAGAATTTTAAATCATCCATAGTTTTTGTGGAGTTTAGTCATTACACCTCCACTATTATAATATAAACTGGACAGCTAAAGAAACTTGCCACTTCTGTCAAAGGCCACACATAAAAATTCCCTCCATAGAAATAAACAATTTTTGTACACAGGTATGCTGCAATATCCCTTACTAATCACATGCCCAAAAGCAAGTGATTATCTTTATAGCAAAAATTTAGGACCACCCATACAAAATGTATTAACTTGAAGAAAACCAAATTATAACAATTAATCATAGCAACTTATGTGTATTTTCAATGTGTAACCTTATTTGACTACATTGCCATGACATGAAACGTCAATAGTTTAATATTCAGTATGCTGCCCTCCATTTCTGATTACTTAGACTGGCTTTTTTTTACTCAGGCTGCCTTACTGACAAAATGTCATACCAGACCTGCCTTCGCCAAAAATTCATTCATATGAGCTCATGGCAAGACTTTGATATTGTGGATCACTGTAAAAAATGTTATGTACATGTACATGTAATTGTTTAATATGAGCCGTTGTCATGCAGGCCCAGTGAGACAAATACATGTACCAACGAAATTCCAGGTGGTCTTAAACTTCTGGGAATGACTGTAATAACTCCAGAAACCAAGGAGAAGATGGTAGGATGGTGTTTCTTATAGTTTACAAGTCATGTGACCAACAGCAGGTGTCAAACATCAACAAACATGGCTTCCTCTCATAGCTGAGTGTGCCAAAAATGATGCCGAAGGTTGATGAAGTACACAGACTACTGATGTGCTGGGTAGCGTACCAAAAATCGGCTTGTTTTGGTAAACAAGACATTGAATAAAATTTCACTTTGCTATGTTAGTGATACCCACTATAGGTGATNGGTGGAGAGTGCTTTTGTGTATGACTTTTGATTCAGTGCATGTCAATTTCTTCTTTGTTATAAAGATAATCACTTGCTTCTGGGCATGTGATTTGTAAGGGATATTGCAGCATACCTGTATACAAAAATAGTTTATTTCTATGGAGTGAATTTTTATGTGTGGCCTTTGACAGAAGTGGCAAGTTTCTTTTGCTGTCCAGTGTAGTTCTGAACATTTCAACCATCATGATCTCCCAAAATCTGGACTTTTTTGTTGAGACCTACTTGGACATGGTAACATGCAAAGTTATAGCTCATAATCTGTCCATCTGTTCCTTGATAATGGCCACCTCTAATATAAAGTGAGCTGTAGTGAAAGCAATAGTACAATCACTTGCAAAAATTTAGGACCACCCATACAAAATGTATTAACCTGAAGAAAACCAAACTTAAACCAATTAATCATAGCACCTTATGTTTATTTTCAATGTGTAACCTTATTTGGCTACATTGCCATGACATGAAACGTCAACAGTTTAATATTCAGTATGCTGCCCTCCATTTCTGATTACTTAGACTGGCTTTCCAGTCCTGCCTTCGCCAAAAATTCATTCATATGAGCTCATGGCAAGACTTTGATATTGTGGATCACTGTAAAAAATGTTATGTACATGTACATGTAATTGTTTAATATGAGCCGTTGTCATGCAGGCCCAGTGAGACAAATACATGTACCAACAAAATTCCAGGTGGTCTTAAACTTCTGGGAATGACTGTAATAACTCCAGAAACCAAGGAGAAGATGGTAGGATGGTGTTTCTTATAGTTTACAAGTCATGTGACCAACAGTAGGTGTCAAACATCAACAAACATGGCTTCCTCTCATAGCTGAGTGTGCCAAAAATGATGCCGAAGGTTGATGAAGTACACAGACTACTGATGTGCTGGGTAGCGTACCAAAAATCGGCTTGTTTTGGTAAACAAGACATTGAATAAAATTTCACTTTGCTATGGTAGTGATACCCACTATAGGTGACNGTGACTTAGTGGGCCCAATCGATGTATTATTTCCGGTTATTCCATGATGGACTTTGAAGCTCTTCCTGCCTCTTACGGGTTTTGGGTAAATTTTTTGTTTTGTTTGTCTAGACTTAACCGAGGTTATCGTCCCGCCAAGAAATACATGAACTCCTTCAATTCCAACATACTTGCCATAATCTGCCAGTAAGTACCAGAGCTGTTCAGTGTGACCAAATCTCATCAAATGAGTCTTCTAGTTTTCACTTTGTGTGAGAAAGGGCTATCCGAGCACTCTGTTTTGATACGCCACTCAGTTTGGCCTCCTAAATGATAATGGACATTGATGAGGGTTTTGCATCGATTTACGTTGTGCATAATTTTTTGAAAGATCCTCGGACTCCAATATGGCCCTGGCGCCTCGCAACCCGTTTTGTTTGGGTGTGATTTCACATCAGTCTTCGTATTCCATTTCACTTGGCCATTTCTTTTTTGATGTATGTGTGCCAGCACACTGTATCGAAACAGTGTGGCCATGATGGTGAATGTCATATCATCTGTATTTAGGAAAGAGAGAAAGTGTGTCAGTTGTAGAAGAGTTAAAGAACTAGTGTTGAAACGTGGTTGAAAAGATTAGCTTGTGAATAGAGGTTAAGTGTTGCTGGCATCTCCATGGTGTCTCAGGTGCTGTTGTTATTATTTTAATTTAGTTACGGTTGATGCACACAAGGTTTTTTCGAGCCTATGCCAGTGATACTAAACTCTTGCCCTCTGAGGACCATTGATGCTTAACCTCTATTTTAAAAACTTGGCAAAGTCTCTGGGTTTAGTGGCAGTATTTTTGTCTTTCCTTCAGGAACATAGCTTTCTTTGCCGGAGCCATTCTTGCTGTGCTCGTCATCCTGGTTGTGTACGATGAGGATGTCCTCACAGTGGAGCATGTCCTCACAACCACTACACTACTCGGTGAATATGCCTATATCTAAGTCTTGTGCCTTGAGCAATGTCTGAAATATCTGTGGTTGTAGATAAGTGGAGCTGTTCTGACACTAGACGGTGCCCTTGCTCTGGGAGCCTGTTTCAGACATATCTTTAATATGAAAAGCTTGGAAAGGAACGAGACTACTGTCCCTATATCACAGAAATGTCCTCAGAGCTAATGGCTACTATGTACAGTTTCAAGTCTTTAGGGAAGTGGCGTACTCTGACTATGAGTTCTTTAGTGATACTGTGGTTGTAACCGTAATCCATGCATTTTTATTGTTCTTTTCCTTCGCAGGTGTGCTTATCACCATTTGTCGAACATTTATTCCAGATGAGGTAAATGCAATATCAGTCGTGCTGGTTTTTTTGTTTGTGTTAAGATTATCCCACATTTAGGTCTGCTTTATGGTATTTGATCAGGTTTGTGGAAACAAAATCAGGTTAGACTGTTCAGGAGCATGCTGGAATTTGTGTTGCAGTATATAACAAAAATATTACTCTAGAAATTGTACTATAAAACCACAGTATACTTGCACAGAAAAGATAGCAGGTTTACTGTATAAAAACAATATAATAATATATATAATATAATGTACCAAAATATAGTTGAAATTGGATTACACTTGACCACTTCAGTTCTTCCAAGCTTGACATAAAATCAGCGTTGCTTGAAAAACGAGACTTCTTCTGGTGACATTGCAGTAGGAAGACAATATAAGCCACAGGAAAATGTTCATTTTACCTCTAGTCAGTTTCATTTCTCTAATTTAACATTTAACGTTTTCTTTTTTTTTTTTCCATGTCAGAATTTGATATTTTGTCCAGAAACCTTGATGCAGAGCATTCTGGCTCAGATCCACTACATACCAGACTCCTGGAAGGGTCGTGCCCACACCTACAAAGTCAGGGACGAGTTCTCACAACTTTTCCAGTACAAAGCGGCAAGTACTCAATCATTTATAATTGCTTTATTTATTTTCATTGATTAAGGCTTGAAAAAGCTGGTGGATTTTTAATAGGAATCGGGCTAACAAGTGGTGACAGTTTATCCCTACATCGGTTTTGTGCTACATTTAATAACCAATTTTCCTCTTTCTCATTGCTCAGACCTATTTCCTGGAGGAGCTTCTGAGCCCTCTCTTGACACCCCTCATGCTATTCAGGCTACGAGGCAAGGTGCTAGACATCGTGGACTTCTACCGCAATTTTTCCGTGGACGTGGTTGGAGTAGGGGACGTGTGCTCATTTGCGCAGATGAACATCCGAACACATGGCAATCCTAAGGTAAGCCAACAATTTCAAGATTCATTCATCATCAAATGTTGCATACATGTAAATACCATGCTCACAGCACTTTACACAGATGGAAACTCTGAAACCTCGAATAAAGTCAATATTGGAAGTATGCGGGTTAAGAAAGTAGTAACCCATATATTACAATACATCTGCTGATAGATATTTCTCAGCTCGTTCAAAACGGCTCTCAAAGCAGCAGCTTAAAAACAGTTCCACACAGAAGTGGAAATTTGCTGGAAATCTGTTACCAACCTTATTATCATAATTAATCTTAAAACATTTTGAATAAAAGGACACTAGAAATGAAAGGGAGTGCTGTCATCATCTCTGATTTGGCTTTCACATTTGTGTATAGTACAGCTTTCCTACTTGTTTGATATATTACAGTTTTGGATTGTCCGCTCATATATTTTCCTTTTAATCTTTTCTTCAACTTGCAAACCTAGTTTAGACGGGTATGTGCACTTTTTTATTATTTATATAGAGGCATAATTAATAAAAGGTTGAATGGCATATTTCTTGTTCAGTGGATGACAGAAGGGAAATCTGAAGCCACTCAATACCAGCAGGCCGAGGATGGCAAGACAGAACTCTCTTTAATGCATTTCACGGTAAGACAGGCTTGTGAATAGTTGACGTTGTGCTTTGGTAGTAATGGCAGCTTAATCAGGGGAACCTAATAACCTAAATTTTGCGGAGGTGGACTCGACCAAAGAGTATTTCCAGTACTGTTTCTGAAGACCTAGTTCTCAAAATTTATGAAAGGGAGGATATGTCGGAGAAGATTGCAAAACTTGGCCAGGGGTATCACAACCTCGGGTAAAAACCTCTGGGCAGACCTCTAGCTTCCTCTTGTTTAATCTTTTACTCTTCCTCAAGAAGTATTCATGAACTTCTTCCTTTCCACTTTGTTGCATCAGATGTTCTTTTCTCTAATTTCTTTTCTTTTCTTCTGTGGAAGTTTCACTGCAGTGTTAACGCACCTGTTTAATGATTACCTTCATTTATAACACCCTGTTTTCCAAGACAGAATATTGGATCTAAAATATGCAATATATTTCAGAGAGACCCTTTGGCAATTTGAGCTGTTACTTCCGCATGATGCAATTAGTGGGCAGAAATAAGAAATTCTTGTTATCCCGCCATAAGACATCCCAACCCGCTGCCGTTATCTGTTCCCCCGAGCTGTCACAGTATCCCAGACTCCCCTGTAGGCAGGCCACAGGTCACAGGTCTGCTTCTGTATTTTTGAAGATTAAACTGGACTTGTGGTGTCAGTTTCCTGGGGGATAACATTTGAGAAGTCCTGATAAGAGTTAATTTCTACCTGTCATTTATCAGCCAGTGGATACTTTTGTTCTGATCCCTTGAATAAATTTAGTCTTGCACAAAAATTGATAGCCTACAGTATGCAAATATAGCTTGGTTTAAGGGTGAATAGTTTATTTTAGCTTCCTGAGGTATTTGCAAATTAAAAAAAAAGGGAAAAAAAACATTTCCTGAGGCGAGGCTGAGGAAACTACTGTAGTTCGTCAACCTCCGATACCAAGATATGTGGTCGAGGTGTGCGTCTGATTTCATGCAATCACTCCAAAGACTAACGATGAAAGGTGGATCGAATGGCCCCTGATTTTTGGCATAGGATGTCAATGTTATCGCCAGTCCTGCTTTGTAACAAAACTTCATCAAACCGTTCAGTTGCTTTTTGCAATAGTTATCCATTGCAGGGTTTCGGTAATTGTTACATGGAATTGTACATTGTGAATTTGTGAAACATTTCGGTCCTTTCAACACATTGCAAGAAAATCTGACATCTATTTTTAATGTCTCTGTTCTTAATCAGATGACAAATCCAAAATGGAAACCCCCACAGGAAAGCAAGGTTTTTATCAACGCCCTGAAGGAACAAGGTAGGTACATGTAACATTGAAACCGCCCAACCTCCCCAAAACCCTGAAACCAGCAAACCAAAACAGCCAAAATGTTTCAGACTTTCATTTTATGGATCTTGTCATTCTTTGCACTTTGCGCAATGCAAATACCGATTCTTAAGACTAAACTCCAGTCTTTATTTGAAAACAAACACCTGAGTTAGTTACCTCATCTAGTAAATAAAGATTAAAAACTAGCCATTGTGCTGTGGAAAAATAAGTGTATAAACAGTCGGTTTAATACATGTCAATTTGATATTTAGTTCTTGTGAAAGCCAGAAGAGTACATTGTCATCAGTTGTTCAGAACCACCGAAACTAACTTATAATTTGACATTCACCACGACATGTAGTCTTTTCTTAGATATATCAGATTTAGTTAGGAAATCTATAATTGTATGCTAACATCTTGGAATTAGGTTTTATTCAGCAAATTTGACCCAACCCACCCAAACTATTGTTATTACACTTGAACTGTCTGTTATTTGGTATCCTCAAGTTATTTCACCGTATAATGTCCATTTCCATCAGGATTCAAAACTGAGATGCATGTGTACATTACAAACAAAGAATTCCCTCCTCTCCCTCTAATGTAAACTAATCCAGATATCTGAGAAACGTATTCTTTGAGACTCGTTTTGTTGAAGTTCATGGACATTACCAAAAGAGGCTTTACACTGTAGCTATCTTGCAGGGCAGTTCTTTTGTTCCATGGGGAAACCTCCTTTGCGCATACCCTGTGGAACAAAAGCACTGGCCTGCAAGATGGCAGCCATGCAAACCCTCTACAGGCCAAAAATAGTCAGTACTACTGTATCAGGCCAAAAAAGTCAATTTGGGCCCACTTGGTTACTCCATCATTCCAAACCAGCCCCATAATTTAAGGAGTCTAATCATCTTCTAGTCTGTGTTTGACCCGATCATGGAATGGCCTTGAGGCATAAAACATAACACTCAGGACACAAATTGTCTTAAAGCACTTGCAAGAGCACTATACAAGGTGCAAGTACACATGGCCTTTGAACTCTCAGCATGATGGATCTTTCAAACCCGGCATTTTTTGTTAAATTTTATGGGTGTTATTGTAACATGGAGCAGACATTGTACCCAACTTAAAGTATGTTGTGGATTGTCACATTAACAAGTTTAGAAACAATTTGTCAACTCAAAATATAATCCAATTACTTTAAACACAGTTCGTATGTTGCTAAATATATAACGGCTCAAGGAATTACGTCTGATTATTCAAATATTATCAGCAAAGGATTTGTCGAGGTATGCAGGGGTCCCTTAACGAATGTACTGGAAAAAGGGTGCATGACAGTGTACTGGCATGGCCTACTTGCATGAGCCACGGGAGGACACATACATGTAGTGTGAGGTAAATGGTAGCCAAGGGACTGGCATGGAAAAGACACCCCCTCCTTGACTACTGTTGCACCGACATGACAACATTTTAATATCAATTGACTGGCAGTAAAAAAGGCTGCAGTGCCCAGCCAGCAAGTGTGATTATCTAACAAATTGTTTATTGAAAAGATGAATCGCACTGAGTAGGAATGAGGACAGATGGTGGTTGGTGTTGTTCACACCTGTTTAGAATCTCATGTGGATACAAAGGATGAGTATTGTCTATACCAGTAGCCTCAAGTTTGCTCAACAGAACTCTCTCCTACTAAGCTCTATTAGACTGATGACTTATATATCGTTTCTTAACGATGCTCTTCCACCTTTGCACCATAGCCCAGAAAGACGTCCATCTCTTGAACACTGTTGAGGCTGAAAACACGGCCCTGGCCACCTCACTGAGGTCCTTGTCATCATTGGAAGGCGGGGTAAGAGAAGCCTTTCACACCTACTTTAAGACTGGATGACATATGATGGACTTACAAGGACTTCAAGTAGACTTCCAACACTGACTTCTAAGTTCTAGTGATCATTCCTTGTTAGCTAATGTATTTGTGTATGTTGGCCATTGCAGTACAGCAGCATACTGGGCAGCCTGGCCATCCAGCAGGGCATGACCAGCCTGCCGCCTACCATCATGCCGCCCCTGGGCACCCCCAGGGGGATCGAGAGCATGATGGCACAGGGGTCAGTCACTGCCAACACCACCAAAATACGGGGGGCGGTCTCCAGCACTGAAGGCCCCCTGCAGGGGGAGTCCACCGGGCTTCTCGGAAGGTATGAAGCTGGATTTTGAACTGTCTTGTGCATCTGAATGATTCAATACTTGCCGTCACCCCTGTGGAGTCCCAACCCGAGTTACCTTGTTTGAAGTCAGGGAGGGGGATGTTCTGAAGCGACGGCTTTGTTCAAACGTTACGGCTGTGTCTAGAAATGATACTCCTCTTAATAGAAGCCAGTGGTTAGCGGCATCCAGCAGAGGCTGTGGCTAAGGATAACATGTCTAGAGGTTCTCATTTCAAATCATGAATTTTGGGAGTATTTTGGTTCTGTGGATTTGGTGATTGAATTGCTTAAAATTCACAGTCTGATTTGATATGGGATGCTTTTAACCCAACCAATGCCTTTTAGCCCAACCAAATAAATGCACGTGTCCTCGAGCAAGGCACTTTACAGCAATTGCCTTTCCGTACAAACTGGAAAATTCACCCCATTCCTCCATGCGTATATACAAGGTTTTGACCCAGCCGGCCGGGTTTGGAAGTCGTGTACCATGACCCTGCAACCTCTTGTCTTGCCTTACAGCGTGACTGGTTCAGGCCCCCTTCAGACAAGCCTAGGTCCCCTGTCGGAGGAGAATGTGCCGATGTCAATGGTCACCACAGTCCTATCGCCGCAGTGTGTTGACAGCACCAACGACATGAACTTCAGCGCCCTCTACATGCATCAGGTGAGAGACACGAAGGGAAACATGCAACGGATATTCAGCTCAACTTGTTTTCATGCACAATACTTTGTGTTATAGCTTTACAAGTAAGATCTATGTACGTCTCTTCATGAGCAGTGGCAAGAAGGTGGTAGCTTTTCCATTCTTAGAAAGTATCCTTTCACGAATACTTTTCAGAGGGCGCTATTTTCCTTTTGTCACACAAGGTACTCCTTGTTGAAAGAGGATAAAGAAAAGGTACAAATATTTGCCCTTAGAATTTACCCACTGACAAAGTTTTGAAGAAATGTTGGTCAAGTTTATACTTAACGGATAACCAAGGAAGAAGTGGAACTTTCTCCAAGAAAATGTGGAAAAGTATGATAAATATTTGTTCACAGAGCTATGGAGATGCTACTGTTCTGCCTTGACTGACATCATTTTTTGCTCATGAATATAGAAAGTTTCAGTAGCATTGAAACCCAAAGTTTCTGCATGTTTCTTCTTACAGAGGTGGAGTATCACAGTAGCATTGCAAGAAAGCTCTCTAACGTGTATTTAAGTCACAAAAATTTTATTTCTTTTCTCCTTTAAAGTAGAAAAAAAATTAACATTTCTGCTGTTTATTCCCACTCAATGAAATGCTGAACAGTTATAGAAACAAAAGCGTCGTAGAGAAATTCATAACTTTACACAATTTGAAGTCTGTACAGCAACTTGTTGTCAGGGAGCGTATTTGCCCCTTAAAGCCAGATGGAGTTAGCATAGATGGTCAAGCTTGTGTTTATTTTTAACTGGTTTGAGAACATTAAGGATAGCATGAACTAATCAGTTTTGAGATTAGTTCGGATATTACGGTTTGGATTTCCGACTTTTACAGCTTCATGATCGGCGTGTGGCTCTAACGGACTCCCAGGCTCCTTCCCACAGTTCCCCTGCCGATGGGGGTGATGACGAGGATGAGGCTGCCAGGCGACACTGGGGCCTTGAGGCTGACTGTCAGCTGGTCGACAGGCCACCAGCCTCCACTCCTGGGCCCCGCAGCCCCCTAAGGGAGGAAGAGGTGTTCCACTCCCTGCCAGGGCTGACCACCCTGGCCACGTTGGACGAGGGGAATCTGGTGGACTCTGGCAGACCCAACGACGTCAACATCTAGAACCAAGGAAGTTCGGTGGCCATTGGAGATGTCAGGGAGAGCGATAGGGATGAATGTGGGGCCAAGAACAGCGAGAGAGAGGGCTTGGTCATCGTCCCGGAACTGTTTTGACAGAAGAAGGATGGCTGTCAGAAACTGAATGCCATGATGGATTGGTGGCCATATGAAATGGGGGCCATTGCTGCTACTACTGGCCACCATTGGCCTCCAAATTACACTCGGGTTTTATTATGGACTGTGTTGCCGGGCACAAACCTGGGCTGTGTGTAGTGGCTGAAATGGCCCGTGGTCACATGAATCGATGGCCATAGGGGACAGATGGCCACAGTGGAATAGTGGCCCTAACAGCCTCCTGGCTATATGAACTGGTGGCATACTTGAAGAGTAGCCACAGTGGACGGGGAACATTTGATGTGCAAGCACATTGGACAAAAGTCTTCGATTCACAGGAAGCTGTAATTACACATGTACATGTTTAACAGTAATATCCTTACACCCATTGTGAAACAGTTTGTATGCATTCCCAATTGTCTGAGGTCCCCCTCTCAAAAAACGTTTAAAGCTTGTTTCGTATAATTGCATATATGTGGTCCATTCATTTACGGTACTACTGTCAATTAATATCCTACTGTAGTATGTATCTGCTCAGACCTCTTCTCATCTCTGGTCAATGTCACTGTCAAGGAATTTGTCACCCTGTGTAAGACTACTGGTGGCCTTGAATATCTTTAAACTCTCATTTTGTGGACTTGATGGTCGATACGCGCACAGAATGTACATCATCCTGCAGTATCGGTCGGTGCATTAAGTACCCACAAGTTGTGACTTATGCTCTTCCTTCTAAAAACAGTCTGACCTCAGATGAGACGTACTTTGGGTATTAAAGAGAGACATCTTTAGCTCTTATTTCCACTCGCGGTGTGGTGTTCAGGTAGTCTCTTGCCAGCTCCCACGACACTGTTTTAGACAGGCAGTGCGTCTGCTGGGCACAGCTCAATAAGGGCATCAGTGAAAACCTTACCGGCTGCAATTTGCTAGCGAGCGCTGTTGTGGTTTTTGAGTAGCTGCGCAGCACGAAATTGGGGGCCACGGGTACCGCTGCAGGGGGGATGTATGTGGGAATGATTGCGTTCATTGCAATCTCCGTTCACATCCATGTTCATTTAGCAAACCATAGGAGATAATACTTTTGAGAAAAAGAAAAAAATGAGGGTCTCTCCTAGGTTTTCAACTCATTTCAGGCTTCAGTGGGTGGGAGTTTTGTATTGACGTGTATTAGGCATGTCATGGCTGGCAAAAGTGTATTGAATGCCCGTACCGCTGTTCGTCTTCATAAGGGTGCTTGTAAATAAATGCAGTATTGTAGATGAAAAGACCACTGTCAAAAACATCACTTTATAGTGAGGTGTTAATTCGGATTTTGGCTATCTTGAATCTAACTTGTAAATTATAATGATGTTTGTATCTGTACCAAAAAAATTTCTTCATTGGAAGGGAATGAATATTGTACTGGGAAGAAGTGCCGTATGTGTGGTCGTATGTATCCATTTTATTCAAGAATACAGTTGCATAGGCCTACATTATATTGTTGACCAAAAAGTGTAGACGGTAGTACAGTTTGTTTATCGAAAAGCTATTCAGGTATGTGAGATACCAGTCCATTTACGAAAATAACCTGTTCGGTATTCCAACTGCGCATGTCTGAAATGGAAAGCGTCAGAGGCCATTCGGGAACAGCAATACACGCGCACGAGGTTTGCCCTGGCGTGCTTTGTTCTCGAATGACCTTGCCTTGTTGAAATGCCGAATACTGTATTTGTGTTTAGTGTCAGAATGCACGAAATTCAAATCGTCTCAGTGGAGTTTAGATGTAGATCCTGGGACATGACGTCACGCAGTGTTGCATTATGGGAGCCGGGCAGACTGCACGGCGTGCATTATTTTTGCAAGCATGGCGCACACGTCGATGATTTCCATCATCTGGATTAAGTTTTTAAGACCTAAGTCCGGATGTTACAGTTTTCAGACCAGAAACTGTAATCCGCTTTGAGTATTAAAATTGTAGACTACCATTATATATATTTATATATTAACAAGGCCTCAGTTGATGTATTGCCCCACTTTCACAGTGAATTTTACTTCAAAGTGATCATAGTGAAAAGAGAAAGAAAAAGCAGCAAATTATTTACCGAAAGCGTTCGTGGTTACAAGCAGGACTTAGTTTAATTCGCACTTTCTGTGAGTTTTTTGGTATTCAAGATTGCAATCATTCGAACTGGTGTTGGAATGGTGGATTAAGACCAGATTGGGGGTGGGGGGAAGCCCTCACCCCCGAGCCATGTTTGAAAAGAATTGTTAAAAACATCCCAATTTTCGCAATTTTGGACTAGGTCTCGTAAAATTACTGTATAAGTTTACATTTTGGCTGTATGTTTTGTACATGAATTATACACGTAAAGAAGTTGTTATATAATTATTTATGCACGTTCAGTTAATGCGCAACTGCTCATCGTTTGGATTTTTTAATTGCTTGTATAATTACCTTTTACAAATGTTCAGGTAATTGAGCTCACAAACTTGTATTTTTAACTTAATCTGTTTGGATAACTTGTGTCTTTATTCGGGTTTATTTATTATGTGCGATGGATACAATATTGGAAATGTATGCCAATTTCGTAATATGACGTTTTCGCGGATTCAGTGTTGGTCTTTTTTTTTCATTCCTTGTGCAGAATTTGCAATGATACCCTTCGATGGTATCCGAATGGGTGTCTTGCATGAGGAACAGTGGGGTAAAATGGAAAAGGCGTGTGTTGAAAGAGTTAGACATTCTCAGGTCTTTTTTTTTTTTTTTGTCATTCGTATCATTCGAAATATGTAACAGAAACAACTTCCGTCACGTTGGAAAGCATATTTACGCCCGGCTGCATAAATGTAGTTTTAATAGTATACAGACTGATTTATAAACTGTGTTCATTTTGAAGGTCTAGGGTTGAAAATAAAACCAATTCTGTTGAAATTTTGTCATTTGCGTATAATGTCTCTTTTTAAGTTGTCGATTACATTGGGTAATTTTTGGGAAAGGATTTCTAAGCTGTCTTGAGGTAAACCTCAAGTCCTCCGTTTTGGTGATTTTCTTTTTTTTGGGGGGGGGCTAACAGATCAACAGTGCAAGAATTTAAAACATTGCACATCTGTGTGTAATTATAGTGTATTTAGTTTTCACGAAATCATTTGGTAGAAAAAACTTTACAACCCATCTAAAGTAAAGACAAACTTATTTGTCGTGGGTGAAGGGCCTTCATCAGGATTTTTAAATAGAAAAGGTCATCTTGGGCAAGATTAGTATAAAAAATAAATAACGCTCACCATTTGTTGTGCAATCTTCAGAATTATTCCTGACCTCTTTAGCTCACTTCAAAATAGGCAATAAGTCACGCCCCTTATGTTTTTAGATACTTTATCTACTAAAATTGAAAGAACGCCGTTTGTTTTAATAGGAATGGTATTCTTTCTTGAGACGCGTCTTCGAGGTTTAGACAGAGAAAAATCAAAGGTGGAAAATATTCAATCATAATGCAAGGCTAACCCCTTGTGGTTTTGTTTATCAACTTTTTAAAATCTTATTTCGGCTTACCCCTTCTTGGTTCTTTTGACTTGTTTTGAGTGTTATTTAAAAGAAAAGAAAATGGTGGAATCTTTAAGAAGGAATACAAGGCTAACCCCTTTGGGTTTTATTTATTTTTATTTATTTATTTTGTTTTTTATTTTGTTTTTAATATTATTTTGAATGTTTTATGTTATATTGTTATATTTTAATGTTATATGAAGGGGAAAGTTCAGGATCCTTTGAATTGAAAAGGAAGGCTCACCCCTTGTTGGTTTTTTTACTTCTTTTTCAATTAATGTATTTAAGAGAGAAGTTGAAGTTTTGGATCTTTTTAATAAAATGCAAGGAAAACCCCTTGTCAATTTTATTTATTACTTTCTTTCTGGGGGGATTCACGTTGTCTTGAGAAAAGATCAATTTTGGTAACTTTTTAATTAAAATGCAAGGCTTACCCCTTGTAAAGTTTAATAATCATTTTTAATGTTTTTTTTTTCTGAAAACTCACTTATTTTAAAAAATTAATTTATGAGAAATGTAAATTTGGGTAGGTTTCGAATAAAAATTCAAGACGTGAAAATTTTATGTATTCCTTTTTTATAGTTAAATTTGGAAATCTTTTAATTAAACATGACAGCTAACCCCTTGTCGATTTCATTTTCCTATTTGGGCTATTTCAAGTTGTTTTATGGATATTCAAAGTTGGGAACATTTAAACTGAAGTGCAAGGCTGATCCATTTTTGGTTTTGATAACATTGGTCATTGTTTTTCGTGGTATTTGGGCAAAAGTCTAGGTGAGGTAGATTTTAGAATCACAATGAAAGGATATCTTTCTATTTCTCATTGATTGTAGAACTAAAGAATATGGCTTAAATTATGCCGATACTTCTCTAGTTTCGTGTACAATCCGGTATCATTAGAAAAAAATTAATAAGTCGAAGGAATTTTTAAAGAAATTTGGAAAACAGTCTAAATCTGAAAACTTGAACGTTGATACATTTTGCGCGGAAAAAGTTGTTATTTGATAAAATGGAAGCATACTACGCACTTCAAATATTGACATCCCATTCCAGACATATTTCTATCTCCACCCCCGACCTTGATACGCCACTGCTATAAAACGGTGTCTTCCCACCGGATCTGAAGAAAAAGCCCTGGATGACTTGAAGGAAACCGAAGCCCATAAAAGCTAGTTGGCGTTACATGCAACAACACACCGAAGAGACATTCGGATTATTTGCCCATGTATGCATATTTCCTGTATTTATTTATTTATTTATTTTTGGAGATACACGAAACTCTAAAATGTTTTTTGGAAGTTCAGTAGTCCGTAGATCAAACTTTAGATGACTTCTTTCAAGAGTAATAATTACATCAAAGACAGACAATTCCCATGCAAAACAATTCATACCACAAATCGTAAACAACCTGGAACTTTCAAAGGCATTTTAAATTCTGGAAGTAAAGAGACTCGCTAAACATGCTTATGATAAAAACCTTTGACACATAAACGTAAATGGAGGGCGTAACAATTATAACACATCCTCTAGATGGGCCTAACTAATTTATCGAGGCTGCAGCTAATTTCACTGTGGTTGTTACCTTTCTCCGAGTCTCGACTGAATCCGTATGTTTTATACTACAGTGTCTTCGCTGGTACCCGGAAGTATCTCAAGTTTTATTTGGACCCTCTTTTACAAATTGGGGCAAAGGGGGCTAGATGTACACGTCAACTTGAAACATACTGTAGGATAGTAAGTGACTTCCAAAGGACTATTTGGAGAGAAAGAGATTATTAAAGGCTTGTCCAAAAGTCCTGGAACTAGTTATTTCATATCAAGGTTGAACTCCTTTGGAATAAAGAGACCGTTGAACCATATGCCGGCTGTCCCTCACGCGTGCTGCATGCGGTGAGCCAACAAGGTCTTTTTCTTAGTTTAAATTCCGCACGGGATTAATTGAAAATAGATGGCTTTGAACACACTCTGTGTGAACACACATCTCTAGGACTCTCGACACAACCTAACTATTTATTTACATTGTTATGATCACGTCGGCCTTATTGAATGGTAATTAAGGTGTGCCTGGGATTGCTTTGAGCGGAGTTGGAGGGTTAAAAAGATTGAAGAATGTAAATGCATTGTAGTTGAGGCAAGTTATATCAATTGACCTCCTGGTGAATAGGAAAATTAAGCCTATGCCATCTTCTAATAAAGTTAATAATTGATGATATCTATCAAGCACAATACCAACTAGTATTGGTGGTCAAGGGGCAACACATCATTGCCATAAGCTCTAGTCACGTTTTAAGACCAATATTAGGTGCACGAAGTGTGTTTGCAATCAGGGGCGTAGCCCGACTGGGAGGATGGGGTCCCCCCCCACAATGAATTCCAGTTGGCAAATACAGCTTCGGTCGGCAAATGAATCCAAAACTGGTACATAAGCAATACATTGGCTGTTGGGATTTCCCCACTGAGAAGCATGAAATGTAGCGTACCACAGGTGTCCATTTTCTACACTTTGTAAATGTTACACGAAATGACGTAGGCGAATAAGTTACAAGTCAACAAACTGACTTTGGCACGCCCCCAAAGAAAATGCCTTCGCTACGCCCATGCTTGTGATATTCGACATCGCAGCACGGTAACGTGGAATCCCCCCCCTTGACCCTGTAGACCTCGCTACCCACAGAGCGCCCGCCTAACTTATAAAACGTTCTTAACACTTCAGATACAGCATCTACTATGCATAAAATACAAATATGTCATAATTTACTCAAAAAGGCAAGGTTTTGACTGTACATAAAACTCCCACAGTATGGTGAGCACTACTTCAGTACTGCCGAGAAGGTGCACTGATTAAATTTAGATACTACCTTTGCTCTGAGAAGTTGTTTCTCCCAGAGGGCGAACAAAAGGAGGCAGCCAATCTTTCTTAAGAGCACCAACCGCCCGCCCATATCTGTTGACTGGCTTTACTATTTATTGTACAAATCAAACTAACCGACTCGTCACAACTTTGTTCATGTGTGTCACCGTTTGGTCCAGTCGTTCCACTTTTGTTCACAATTCTACATACGGCCCGTATTCTCCTAACAAAGTGTATTCTAATTAACGCGTGGTTAAATAGTATACTTCAAAAATTCAGACACATAATGTTATCGTTGTTAAAATAAAATTGTCCGATAGGAAATAATTTACATATTTACATATTCTGACAGGCAGCATTATAAAATCAACATTTATTTACCTATCAAGGAAAAAGGACATCAACAGTCAAAAGAAAGAACTGATTACAACCGCAGATTCCTAGGCGGTGTCACTTGGTCTTAAGGCTTATCACTTACGTCATCAGCTTATAATACTTTGTGATATTCCTTTATGTCAGTGAGTACCTTTCCTTTGTAAAGCACGTGGCCGATTTCATTGCCAATTCCAACATAAAACTTTTAGGCTGCTTGAAAAAGTCTTCAATATAGGCTATTCCTTTCAAAGTATTACATTTTTATCTTCCTTAAATAGTTATTTTCACTTGATCATTTAATATATTGGTATTAGTTTGGAATTTATATTACAAACCTTTCATACAGTTCGCTATAATTTAAGAAAACTCTATTTTATTCAGCAATATTGGTGATATTTAGTTCAAGTTTATAAATTGTGAAATATGTTTTCACAGATATCTTCAAAACAAATAAAATTGGTACATTATCCCTACAACTTGTAATTTCTGTCGGCCACATAATAAAATCTACACTACTTCTTTCCCTACAACCAAAAAGTGATTATGTACATTGCATATACATTTAAACTCTCTCGTAATGTCGGTTATGTTTTACATTCACGTTTTTGTCTGATATCCACCTGACCGTCAAGAGGAAATGTGTATTAGAAAAAGCAAACCTGTAAAAGCTTAAACAATGTCAAGATGGATAACTTCGAAAAGCACTCTTGGCTACTTACACAGACTATACGGACACCATTGGACTTGTCGACACATGAGTTCCAATCACCATTAGTCCGCGCAAACAGTCGAATAGTCTAGTACGTCAGGTTTACACAATAAACTCTAATTGCTTTTGGACTATTCAATGCAACAAACGTGGATTTTCGTGGCGCAGACTTGAACTTATTTGTCATTTTGTTAAGATTATTCTTAACTTGATGAGAATTCAATGTAAAGTGAAACTACCGATGAGAAAATTTGATGTCACACAAAAAAGTTATCTTCGACTCCTATCAATACATTATTTCATGCTGCAATTCTCTCAGTAGACATGCAGCATTGATACGCTGACGGCCCTGAGCCAATTTCTGCAACGATTTCGGGCATAGGGTAGTTTCAGGACGAACGTTGACTCACTTATTTAATTCTTGACCTTTTGACCTTTCGACAAGAAAATATGTAGATCGACAAATTTTATACTGTTTGCTGTTGTTCCTCTAAACACCTTTAAAGATATTTTCCGACGGAAACAGTCCAAAGGATCGTTTTGGGGGAATATAGAAATCTTATTACGCGAAATAACAGAAGGGTGCTAATGTATTATTACGTTTATATGATTGGTTATGTTAAATGGGCAGAGTTTCAAAACCAAAACGTACGTGACAGCTTCTTGACACAATCAGAAACCTCTTTTACCCTACACCCAATTATCGGGAAACATTTCACAAATTTTCTAGATACAAATTCACGGATTACTAGCTACACTGGATAAGTTTCGACATAATCACGATCACCAGGAACCCACACCAGCAGACGGGGTTATCCAAACGACCGTTTGACGACTTGTTTCCAATTCACGTCTCTGATTGGCAGTGTCCGTCATCCATGACTGTTAAGCGGATCTGGAAAAAAAGGGGGAAAATACTTGACACCTGAAAAAGCTGTGGCGCGGAATGGCGCCAGGGAAGACTCGAGTAAAACGGCGTGAAGAACTCTCGGACAAAGTGCACGTGTTCGAAACAAAAAGAGTGTATGAAACAAAAAGCGTGCAAGGTATATGGTTTCAACAGGTGGTACACGTTGACATGCTCGACACTTTTAAAGGTTGTCGACCATTTTGTGCAGAACAATGGTTTACATTGTGTTCGACACTGGTGTCATTGCAGTTTTACCTTGTTCAATTTTGTGTGTGTGCACTGGTCGTTTAATCTGTTAGCAGGCGCTGAGTTTACATCTGTAGAGGTTTTAAAAATGGAGAGCTTTTGACAACCGAATGAAAAGAGCACAGAAGGTTCGTTATTTATGAAAACCTGTCAGTCGGACAATTTCTCTTTTCCCAAATAAACACCTACATCTACAGGAAACGCAAAGGGAAGAAAGAGGGCAATGAGATCAGCAGACATGAATTAGGGGCTAACTGTTTACGGAAAGGGGGGCTTCAAACGTTGGGGTTTGCGTGGGCTGTGGGTTTCAGGAGTACCTTGGGGGTTGTATAAGGTAAATTCTCGATTGAAATGCCAATGTACCGACAATTCGTGGACAATTTAATTCAGGGTTTTCACAAGAAAAGGGCTGGATGTATTTCGAAACTGCCGACTTCTGACAATCATACAAAATGTCCGCCGAGACGACTGGTTGGGTGTGACTTAGTAATGGAAGGCCATACTTGGCCATTTGGCGGGGTTCAGGCCCGGTCTACAGACGCCATATTTCTGCCGTCCAGTTCAAGTACTTTGACAACTTTTGGGGGTAAAATTCGGCAGAGCCGGCAGCACATCATCCAGGCAGAGCCTGAAGGGACAAGACTCACGGAGCCGTGAGTGATCATTGGCCTAACTGAAGCCTCTCTTCACGGACCCACGTACAGACGATATCCGGTCAACTGGGACCCATGCTAACTCGGAGCCAAAGCCAACTCGGACCCATGCCAACTCAGACCCAATACTTACTCAGACCCACGACAAACTCGGCCCATAACTAACTTGGACCCACCAAAAGTCAACTCGGACCCACCGAGCTTTATTCTATTTTAGCAACTTTGTGATAATAAACGAAACACGCAACGCCTGACAGCCCCAGCAGTGAGGCTTTCGGCTTGGATCCCACATTATCCTTGCTTCTATAGATGTTCCGGTTTGCAACCAAGACGATTTCTGCCAACTTCGATTATCTTAATTAAGCAGTGCATCAGATAATCGTTTACTTGTAAAACTTTCATTAAACTCTAATCATTCCCGTTTTCCTGTGTTTACGTTTCCACTGAAAAGTTGCAGTGTAAGTGATAATAATTCATCAAAGTTTAACGTTTGATTTCGTCTTATAAAGAATTTTCGTACCGTACGAAACAAATGTCTGAATTTTGTAAAGCATTTTTACATTCCAGCGGAAATCAAACTTCATTGCCAATTCGGGCATCAGAAGACAGCACTTTAATTACCTCTGACACTTGTTTTCTGTTTCCGTTTTTTTTTGGGGGGGGGTTGTACGGTTAATGTTTGAAAGTATCTAAAAGAAGCTATAGGATCTGTCAATCATTCGAATCATTCATGGTGCTGCAGGTACCAACACACAGAGATTTAATCCGACACGCGTGGCATGGAACTGACTCACAAAAGGCGCCAAGTTCATTCATAGAGGCGAAAAGTGTCACAAAATATGGTTCTAACGGTCGGAAAATCGGAAGCATTGTTTGGCCTTTGAAAGTTGGATTCACCAATCGTTATTTGGGTACTCGGGCGTCGATGTTTTCACTTGTTCCATTTAGGCGTATGCCTCTGTTACTGATAATCAGAATGAACGATAATCAATGCGGCGAAGTGGAAATGGGGCGAAGTTGTGATGGGCGAAGTGGAAATGGGGCGAAGTTGTGATGGGCGAAGTGGAAATGGAGCGAAGTGAGGATGGGGCGAAGTGATCGACACCCGTTTGAGTTGGCATGGGTCCCAGTTGGTTTAGTTCCGAGTTGGTTTGGGTCGAGTTGACTCGAAACCGTACAGACACGGGGCAATCAACATGGCCCATTAGACAGACTAGACATATTTTGGTGTATACAAATGGGTATCGTAAAAATACACTGCATCATTATGGAAAGCACAGATACACTTTTTCAAGCTCTGACCTCGTTAGGAATCTTGGCTTAGAAATTATTCCAAAGGGACTTTGTTCGGACGATCTGAACCCCGAAGGTCCTTTTCAAACATCGTAGGACAAAAACTTGAAAATCCATTGCACTTCTCATTCTTTCAAATCAACAAACTTTAAATTAGAATTGTATATGAAAGAGATCACTTCATGACTAATGGGCCGCTTTGTACTGTCACACAGCGTAATCGGCAGACTGGAAAACAAAATTTCAGTTTAAGTAGGACAAAATTGTAGTTAGCGATCAAACACTGTTGGACTAAAAAGGTCAGAAAAGTAGAAAGAAATTCAAATTTGTAATTGGAATCTGGAAAAATAAAAGAAAGAACGAAATACACTGTATATGTACAACCGAGCTTAATACGACCTACTCTGTTCAAAACAGGTATATGTTAGGGGTTTTTCTCCCAAACTGCCGATTGTGGCTCTTTTTGGTCAATTCTGGTTTAAAGGACTGTGCTGATTGTTATGGCAACCATTATAAAATTGTTTGATTTTCGCTGACATCCAATACTTAACCTGACCTAAAAATCTTAAAAGCTTGCCGCAAAAAATCAGAACTGACGGTAAAACTCATGAGGTGAAATCTACCAACAAACTCTACATAGGCCTAGGTCCAAGAGACCTACAAACAAAAACGAAGAACTCATTGTCTACACTGTTTGCGCCTAGGGGGAACCACGTGGGAAGATCACGTGACATATTATGAATGAAAAAGGCAGCATGCAGAAATGTAGAGGAAGAAAATTTAGCTAACTTGGGTTAAGAGAACTGAGCATGCTCGGTCGTACATACGTCCGTAGCCGTGGTAACTACCATGTTATGTCCTCGGTTGGGATTGTGGTAGGTCCGCCATGTAGAATACTTGCGCCGCAGCACACTGCGCACCTGTGTAGAAAAGGACTTAAATGCAGTGACGTCAGACAAATCAGACGAACGCGATGTTTAAGGAAGGCGAATGCGAGTATGGGATTGCTGTCTGAATCTTACAAAAGAAATTCATGCACGAGGGAACCCAAACACACTTCGACAGCACTGCCAAAAAGACTCCTCAGGCTCAAAGATGGAACAGGTTAGTCGTTTTAGTTCTTGCTCAGCCTTCGTGAAAAGGATATAGAACGTTGACTAGTCTTCCACGTGTTTTGTGATTCAGGAAGCAAGGTTAACTTCAGAAATACCACATCATTCGAAAATTATTGATCACATAACATCCTTGACTTGCTTATAGCAACACTGCACGGGTGACCACTTACCTCTGCATTCATGAAGCAATACAGAATGGCCACGAAAAATCCCTGGTAGGCGTCCAGGAACAACAAACCGTAGTTATAGACGACAATCCAGCCGGGGCTGTCCTCGGTTTCCGGTTCGGGGATGAGCCAGACTAGGTTGGCCACACCCAGAAGTGGGAGGAGCACGAAGGTGGCCTTGATAGCTTTCCTTGAAAAACAGGGGGACAAGGTCTTTATACGAATAAACGTGTAACGGAGGGGTAGCTATAGGGGGGACATTGAACTGGAAGAATTTTCGGACGACACGATAACAGAAGAAGCGGGTTGGTATGTTACTCTATTTTCATCAGATGGATAGACAGATAAGCTCACCACACCGACCTCTGTAATTCCAAATGCTATCTAAATACCCGTCTCCCTAGAGAAACCAGCCAGGCAACATTCCACACAGCCGGCCGAACAACTACCAACCGGTAGGCTAGCAAACGCGACAAGTAGTCATTAATAGTAGTTGCGAGCAAGTCAGCCAAACTTCTAGGGATTGAGCTAACGAGCCAGCAACTAACTCACAACCAGTTCAAGCTAACTAGCAAAAAAGCCGACAATGAACTAACTAACTAGTTAGCTGATCATGCACGTGGCAACTATCTAGCCAGAAAGCTGGCCGACAATCAACCAACATGCCGACAATAGCCCAACGAATCAATCAGCAAGTCAAAAAGACAATCAACTAGACGGTCCACCTTAACCAAATAACCAGCCCAGCAGCAGACCTGGTGATTAACTCTACACTGTAAAAAACGTTGGTCAAAACAGTGTTGGGCATTTGTTATTAGCTAACCTTGGTTAAAGCTACCACATTGTTGGTCCATTTTCCGTCACTGTTGGTCAAACATTGACCAAATATGGGAAGAATTTGCCCAAAGGTTGCTAAGTTGATATTTTTACTAACATTGGGCACAAAATCAACCCAAAGTTGACCAACCTTTTAACAGTGTAGCAAACTAGCCAATTAGTCAACTAGTCAACAATGCAAACAACAAACTGACCTTCAAGTCAGATCACCTGACAACAGCCAATCAAAATGTCCATTAAATCAGCTGACCAGCAAGTACGTCAGCAATCCATCTATCCAGTAAGCCGACTTGCAAGCCAAACCTACCTTACTTGTTTCGTCTCGCTGGTGTTGCTCTCCCTCAATTTGGTAACCAATACTCTCAGTATATTGATGAGAAAGAGCAAATTCATCTGAATTTAAAACGAAAGTAGATAGAATGTGACAGTGAGCGTTCCGACGGGCAATCAACATGGGCCTCTCAAAAAGTCCTGGCAGACTATAAATTCTACGGAGTAGTGCATGGGAGTGCAAACGTCAATTTTCCCGTCTAAAGCACATCCACACTGTGCCCGACAAATATAAAATGACAAGAACCTTATGAGCCCCGAGCTGGACCCAGAGAAGGCGCAATTTTCATGCCAACACAAGCCCCTTCAATGGGAATTGCACTTCGCTGGTTCACAAACGTCTATGAAATGCACGCGGTACGATTGCATGGCTACCAACAGACTGAACACTCCCCACCAACCTGGCTCTTTTCAACCGCAGATTTCAAAGCGGATTAAAGGGCAACATTGTCGTGCATTATGTGACTTTGTCGGGAGCATTTATTTTTCAACTGATGAAGTGACACATTTTTTGCACGATGCGCTAACAGGCCGAGTGATTAACCAAAAGCAAAAGGCAGCAAAGTCAAACTTAAAGTCTTTGGAAGTAATATGTTTCTTCTTAAAATAATATAAGCATAGGCCTAATTGTATGTGTACAGGCCTTCAGAATGAATTGAAGTGGCGGAGAAGTTGAAAAGGGTAATTCTGCAGTTTAAATAAGATGGAAAAGAGACTGCATTCCCAATGGCTGTTAAAATTGTTCTTGTCTAGATATGGTCCGTCAGTCTTTTAACCTTCGTAATCACGGGCCCTTGTGCACTGGGGGACATGGTCGATCCGCCGGGTCGGGCCCACAATGCAGCGCCGACCGAATAGCTTTGCTGTTTGAGGGCCTCGTGGCGGGCAGTCTAAAACCTCAAAGGGGCTTCGCAGACAGGTCATCGGCTCTCTTCATTCTCTCAACAATCCGCAGGGGAGCAAGCGCAGCGCGTGCGCGGGGGGTCAAGCAGATGTTGTACAGTCTTAGTGCATCGGTTGGCCGCCCGGGAATTCTACCTCCTCTGGATGGAGACGGTGTTTTTAATATAGCGGTCTCGATCTCATTAGGTGGTTTAAAGGAGAGATTTGGATTTCCTCTGGATTTGACAAGCGAATTACACTGCGACTCTATTTAAAGATGCATATTAGTATGAAGTACATGTAGTTTCTTTTCACGTTTTTGATTAATGTGGGTGTTTCCTAGTCAGCCAGTCCATATAAATTTGCAGTTTGATATCAAAGACTTGGAACCCACATTATTTTCGAGAAAAATAAAATTAATGCACGCTGATTGAACAATACTTGATCGGGTATGACGCCGTTAGGCCTACTCGCTGCAGCAATGGAAATGTTCATGGTAGCATAGCATCAGAATACAAATCGTTAAAGCCGCCAGTGATTCGAATGCTGTAAATTTTTAAGACCTCGAGGGATCAGTGTAGCTACAATGCATCCAATGACATGTGCCAGATCTCAGCTTGAGCTATAAGGGTTTGGCGTCATCTTTCCCAAATTTTGCTCAGTATCAAAGACTTTTACGCTGTTTGGGAGAAACACTAAACGCATAGTTCTTTAAATCTAATCGTCCCAGAAGTGCTAAATCCATGGCGCCTGTAATGTCCTGAACTCCTGGAGAGTGTGAAGCCCAGGGAGATTAGGCGTTTCTGAATGTTCACTGTCTCGTCAGCTCATCCAAAATTCCCTGAGCGTTATCAGATGTGACCTGGTGTTCACTTCACAGGTTCCGTTTCGCATTCAAGTCTTCACACGCTACTCTGACATGTGCACATTGCTGTGAATTCAACTATTAATATTGATGGTAAATGTTTTCGGCATGTATCATGCATGGGCTTTCGCTCATCAACACCTCTATGGGCCTCCAGCTGGACCAAGAGAGGGCTTTATTTCCAACAAAGGCTCCTTTGGTTCCAACTGCCCATCGCTGCCATGGTTCATGAACGACTAGGAAACGCAAGTGCTGCAGTCGTGTCGCAACCAACAAATGAGCACATATGCATATACACTTAAATAGAAAGAGTTAAGACAATAGAGTTTGAAAGCAAGGTTACATACTTAATTTACAAAGGTCAGGCTTGTGGGGAAATTGCCTTAAAATGAAAGGGGTAAACGGTCGATAAGGGAGAAAAGCAAACCGACACAATCACGTGAAAGGAGAAGATAAAGAGAGAAAGAAACACAGACAGACGGTGCAAAGTGATATGATACCTAAATAAAGACCGATTATTGCATGAAATGGAGTGCAATAAGCCCTTTGCGAGTCAAATTTGAATTAATCTGATACTCTGAGTTCCATTAATTCACGTGAACGTAATTTGAATTCTTTATATTAAAGGCACTATTGCTACACTACGTGATTCAGGGTAAGCTTTTGCCCAGTTACATAAAGAGACGCCTTCTGTTCAATTTACTGTTTTCAACGGATGAGGGCGCAAAGGAACCAGCCCGTTCCAGAGATCGCTATGCAAAAAGCTTGCCCCGAATAGTACCAACAGTGTCTTTAGTGTGGGGAAATCAGATTGGTACGTGCAATCAGATTTACCAGATTTCATTCAAATAACCCGTAAAAGGCTTACTAAAGCAGCGACCTGGGTCAAAATCCCTGAGAGCACTAACACTATCTGACATGGATATCGCTGAAATGAGTGCGTGAATGGCGAGTGACTTAAAACGCAGGTGGAGAACTTGCTGCTCGTCAAACATTGGTAAATATTTTACGATGCGACTTTAATATTATCAGATATTTGATAGTCGCATAAGATGCGTCCTCCAGACGCAATTTCTTGTTTTACAGAGAAACATCCTAGCGCCAAGGACAAACTGACATTTACCACTTTTTTCAAGGAATAGCTGAAAGAACAGATAAGCCCCCTTAGTGGAACAAAAGGGTCTCTCCGAAATACATGGGCCAAAAGCTCCAAAACCTAAAAACACAGAGAAAGAGAGGGAGTTCAGTATAAGTGCTTCTGAGAGGAAATAGGTTCAGACCGTTGAAACTCGTCGACTGACAAGTTGCGTCTTTCAGGAGCTGATTTGCCCAGGTATGCTTGCTTGCTTTTATTGGCGGTAGAGTTTTGCGCTATCGATTAGTGACGACCCAAGCGTGACCCAGCTGTCATTTTCCTGATGGACGGAGTAGCCTGCCTACAAGGAGCTTAAGCTCAACCCGGAGAGGGAAACATGTGGCGGGCAATGTAAGCACTAATTAGCCCGGGTAATGCATAAAATGCCCACGGGAGTTGAGATATACACGGAGGTGGCAGCAGTCGACGGTCGTTTCTTCTCGAGCCGATGCATGGAGCACCGGGGATCCATAAGACAACCGGCCGGTTAAAGGCAGGCGGCCGGCAAATTATACAGCGGCAATCACCGGTAGCCATGAATACCCCCGGAGGCCACGATGGCCGAGATATATTATTGCTCTCTCGGGTGCGTGGATGAAACGCAACAGAATATACAGGGTTTGACGAAAGGGCAGGTCGCGTTGACGGAATTTCCTTTTGGAAATAACTGTTCAGGCGGGGCCCTCGGGAAGAAAATTCACACCACGCCAGGGGCCTTCGGTAAATGAGGGTTTATTTTGTATGTTCAAGACGTACCGTTACGTAGGTTTGTACTTTTTGGTGACATAGTGGGAGTGTTGGCGGAGATGACATGGTGTAGGGACGAGTGGGACGATGGACTTAGGGAGCCAAGGGTGGTTGGACATTTGATGGGGTCAGTGGTCGTTGATTATTGTCGCTTCACTAGACTTAGAGTTCCAAAGTTCAAGGAGGCCTGTGCATAAAAACTGGTTGTGCACATGAGGATATTTTACGATTTTTTGAAGTTAAATAAAAGTTGACAAGAAAACCTTTCACCCTTTTTTTCAGAATAAGCTCTTGAAATAGAACTATAAAGGTTAAATATCATTACTTAAATTCATCAACTTGAGTTACTTCAGTCAAAAGACAGGTTAACATCGCACTTTAAAAGAATTTTATTTCGTTTCCAAAAGTATAAGGAGGATGCTTTAGGGATAAACGTCCCAGAATGAATGAATGAATTTACCATTAACACTTAACAAACCGTGAGTGCATTTATGAATGTTCAATGTAATGCATGGCTAATCTAAATATGCGACACATACTCTCGGTTTGTCTCGAGGGGGATGTTGGAGCAAAGGAAGCCTAGGCTTCCAACGTCAGAAAGAGTAGCTCCGTTTTAGAGAAAATGACTACGTCCGCCTTGAAAATAATGCTCTAACCCGGTCCCACCAGGTCTTCAAAGGTCGGCTGTGATGAGCAAGTGACGGCTTCGTAACGAGGCTAATCGGGCTAAAAAGGGTTATTAACTTCTGAGGTACCACGAGCAATCGCAACGTCCAAATTCACCAGATGCAGCATGTCCCGCTGAAGAAATAAATTTCAGTACTTTCAAGTGGGGGAAGGAACGTGTGTCCTGACAATGACGTCGTTTTTGCATCAATGCGCGCACCATTTCTGGGTATCCCGATACATGTGGCAGATGTTACGGCCCGCTGGCACCGGAAATTAGCCGCGTCCACTAACTCCCACAATCTCTCTCTGAAAAACAAGCAAGGAGGGAAACCCAATACCACCTTTTATCCGAGGTAATTGGCACGCAACAGCCTACACTCCAATCCAGGAGTAAATTGGTCACAACGCTGTGCCATCCCTCGCCGAAATGAATTTCGTGCGATAAAAGGCCGCTGAAAATGTCACTCCTGTTATCATTCGTGACTTCCCCTGAATTTAAGTGCGGCAGCCACTTGGTGAACTCGATCACTGCATCAAATAAAAATTCATTATTGGTATTTTATCGCCGCCCCGAATGCACTATCGTGTCTACGGGTTGTCCCTGCTGATCTTTACTTTCCAACGCCACGGTGCATTATTATTATTTTATCATGCAGTATGCATAAGATGTAAGGTCGAGTAAAATTTTGTCAACTCCTCGTTCTGTGAACGTCACCACTGGTGCCCAAAATTAATTCCATTTCAGGGGGTTGTGTTAAGCTTTAAATGTTTTCTTGCCGTCATGGAAGACGGAGCACAGGTGAATTCTACACAACAACTGTGCTCATGTTCTCGCTGCAGAGAGAGATTGATCAAGTGATAAATAAACTCAGGTCAGGTTGGTGTAGTGGCGCTACCCTCGCCTTCCACCTTTGCGACCCGGGTTCAAATCCCACAGGTCAGCATGTGGATTGGCTTTTAGGTCCCTGCCTGAGTCTCTGGGTTTTCTTTGGGGTATTTAATCAGGCTTTCCTCCCACCTCCAAAACTGTCGTCTCAATAGTCAATTTATCCAGCAATTAGCACTAAATGCCCTGTTTGGTGTACACATATACAGAGGGTAGTTAATTCAAAACACGCTATTGGGGAGGCATGCGTCTTCACATGTGAGGTATACGTCTGTGCCCGTATCAAAGCCCGTTTTGTCACTTTTTATAGTGTTATCCCTACGTTCAGAAAAGGTTCAGTCAAACTCTTTGACAACAATGTGTGGACATGAATCTATACCTACTTCTATAATCTATACTTCCACGTTAAACCCTTTAATATGCGATCATGCAATGCGGAACTATGGAGCTCTAACCAGTTATTTTCGAACAAACTTTTACATTTACATTCTGATGAATTTTACCCTGACAGAGAGCCTCATGACAGATGAGTTTTTCAATACACAGTCACATTATTAGGGGAAACTTCTACCACATGCAACGACAGGTGAATGGAAGGAGCTTCATCTTGCTCATGTTCGTATCACCCCATTGAGGTTTTTTTTCTTTTAATTTGGATTGATGAAGCAGACTATCAAGAAAGACGGATAGACGTGCAAGTGCCCTTCAACCTTCAATGTAATGTTTGGTTTTATTGAGTCTGTTATCAATTGACCGATTAATCAATCAACCGATCACGTTAAACTAGTGACTACGAACATGGTGGAGTTTGTATCACGTTATCTTTCCCTAGAGAAGTGGAATGGCTTTGAGATACGGGTTAATATACTGTACACTACTTCTGTGCCGCAGAATTTCGTTACAAAACATGATGGTTTTCTTTTCTTACTCTGTCCTTTATTTTCATTTTCTGTCCACCCTGAACCTTAAGGCCCCAAGTCAAACCACTCAATACGCCCACACCTTTCATCCCTATAGCTGCCACCCCCCCCCCCCCAAAAAAGGAGATTACCGATAAGCCGTCCTATATAGCACTTAGGCTCAACAAAAATCCCCTCAGTGCCAAGTGTTGCTGTATTTTCCTGCTTAGTATGCACAAAGAATATTGAAGAACTCGCCAGCGGCCTAGCTCTTGGTCTGCTTATAAACAGGCTTCAAAATAAGTCTCTTCCGTGCCCAATCCCCTAGGGTACAACATGTGGACAGTTGCACCGTGCATCAGCACTCGAGCACCCCACATTTGGGCGTTGTCCTTTGATCAAAGTACACGCGTACGGGTGTATGTTACACTTTCCGGCCGGAATATAAAGGAAAAGAGTACTCTTACGGCTTCCGCATTAAAGCGCAAACAAAGTCACGTGTCTGATATTCCTGTAGACCACAAACTTAATGTGAGTTCTGAAAATGGGCCGCAAACTAATGCAATGTTCAGCTGAAGGACAAAACAACATGAGCAAACATCAGACAGGTAATGTTACAATGAATAAACTCTTCTCAGAAACAGAACAAAGTAGAGAAACCTTTAATGATCATCCAACCCAACTGGGTATAAGAAAATATTAAATTAAAATTGTTTCAGATACAGACTTAAAACTTGTTAACGAAGTGGTGTCTCTATTGAATAAAGCAGGTCTTGAAACCTGTAAGTATACCAAAATTAATTGACCATTAAATAAACGCTGCATCACAGTTGCCCCAAACTGTACAAATCAACACCCATTATTAACTTGTCTTTGCGTTAATTACAACATTTAGCCGCTTAAAATTAAACGCCTTTTTTAAATAAACGTGTTTCGGTGTTTAGTTTTGAAATATAAACATTGCGACGTGTTAGGTGTTCGATTATTAGCACCCGAACACGTTCACAAAGTGTTAACAGGAAGGTGTTTATAACGTGTTAAAACATCAACACTTGTTTTTACACTGCATGCAAATTTAGAACTAACGTTAAGATGCGGTCATACACAATGTCAAAGTGAATTATGACTTGTTCATTGTATGTACGGATATAAGATGTAACTACTGGATTCCCAGACTTTGCCATTACACACTTTAGAGTTTACCATTAAGGCCTGTAGCCAGCGTTCAGGAGAGGGCCAAGTACGGACCACATACAATAAAGAGGAACGGAAGAACTATTGTAGGAAGGTACCAAACTATTCCCGAGTTCGAGGATACTGGCTTTAAGCGTGCACGAAAGCATAGCACGAGTCAATTGAACCTGACATTATTGACCCTGCGAGAAACTGTTAGTGTAGAGGTAATTCCTGCGGCATTTCACTTGGGATGCCGAACTCAGTCAAGCTGCCCACGCATGCAGGAAGACAATGCAAATTTTTCCAGCATACTCCGTGTCGCACGCGCAGGCATATCCATGGCTACGTCTTTCACTGGTCATTGTTGGTAAAGAACAGATTTAGCTCTCCTGAAGTAGGCTTATATATAGACCTCAACCCAGATGCTACAATTTTTGTCTCGTTCCCTGTAGGCTAGATCCATTAGCAAAAGTACTTCTTCACGTATTCATAAAAGGAAAGACAATTTTGCTCTCCAGCCCCAGCATGGTTACATTGCTTTGAATGTTAGAAAAGTAAGAAGAAGGCTGCTGCATGATAGCGGTGTATACTTGAACTGGCTGCGCCCGCGCAATGCAAGTGCCGGCCGTGACTATAGCACTGAGATTAAATGAACACCTCTTCGATGTTGGTCGACGACAAACGTCAAAACGGAAAGAAATGACCTCGCCTTAGGGGTTGTATTTGGTTCCAATCAAAGGCTTCCATGATGCAGATACTTTTCCGATATCAGGAAACTATAAGAGTGCGATCTGGTACCAAAGCGGCTCAACCTGTACATGGGCTTGCGCGCGCACGGACGGGTAACGTTACTACGGACAAAAACACCGCCTGAACATGAGCCACGCTCGCTATATGCCCTCGAGAGACTCTCCACTCCATGCAAAAAGAAAAAAAGTCCCCGAGGTCCTTTTCAATATCGCCGGAAAAAAAAAACCAGCAGGCTTATTTCGAGTCCACAAGTTTGCTCCAGGAACCCGCTTAAGTTTACGCTAAGCGTGATAAATGCAAAGGATGTTGAAAGCTCAAGCAAAGCCGGTCTTTTGAAGAAATACCGACATCCGCTGCCAAAGCTGAATGAATGGCGCTCAGGGGTGCAATATACCCCTGATGGCAGTACTGGGAAAATATATTGCAGGAGACGCCAACATGAAGAAGCATTAAAAAATGCTGCTCCGAGACTCCATAGATACCGATTTCAAAGGCACATGAATGCCAAGCTCCACGTGTGCGATGATTAGGTTCATAAATTTGTGTGTAATACGCATCAGGTAGCATATTTCCTTTTGCTAAAAATTTACGCATAAACTACGTATATACATTATACTCACCGAAAGTAGCACGTTGCGAGGGATCTCTATAAACACCCAGTAGTAGACAGTGTTGATGTTTGCAAACCAGCAGCTAGAAAGTATGATGCACAAAGCATTCATGTAAACAGTTACAATATCCATTGGACAATGGACAATGTTGCCCGCATCATTGTGCGGGGACTGTCTCAAAGATATACACTCGTCGACCAGAGAAGACCCCCCTTTGAAACGATTTAGGAGAGTTGGTTCGTACTGAGCATGTTCACTGAAAGAGAAATTGCAAACGCGTACAACAGGACGGTCATGGATTGAGAGTACCATTTCGAGTGATGGAAATTGTTGACTGACAAGGTTGGTTAACAAATGATCTGATTTCCGTCAACTACACGAGTTTAGCACCTGGATATCCTTGCAACATCAGATACATGCATATCCTTCTCTTAAGACGACCAGAAACCCCACTCTCCATTCCGCATAATATTCCAAACCAATGACATACGCGCAAATGTCAGACATGCTCTTAAATGTGTTCATAAATTAAAGCCCTATTGAAGGGTAAAATTTGGGAAACTGTTTGACAAACTCAGAACTTACTTGCTGTTAGAGCCCAACGTAAAATGCATTGCAATAGCCCACGCGATGATGAGAGGTGCACTTAAAACTGGCAAGAGAAAACACATACAAAATGAATATGAAAGTACTACTACAACAATGACCTAACGTGTGCAACGGTCATGTTTCACTCTCTAACTCTGATTACTACGCCCTCTATTGGGATTACATGGTCGGTTTGGCGCCCTCTGGTTGTGTCCAATCCGACCAAGGTACATGTATCAGCCTTATTATGGCTGATTCATACTTCAGGCGAGTGCATAGGTGAAGCAAATTTGGCGAAAATTTTGCTGCAAAATTGCGATCGAGTTAAAATGTGTTCAGCTTTCGCGTGTTCGTAATATTCGATATGACATCACAAACTGGCGTTCGTTGTCGCTTTTGCGCGAAGTTTGAACCGACGACCTAAAGTCGTCAGACAACCTTCTAAGGGTAAACTTAAACAGTAGTGGAGGTTGGGCTAGTGTAATTGTCCGCTCGAAATGCGTCTGTAGTCTAGCACCTTATACATCAATATCGAGACGCAAATATCCTATGTAAACACACGAGACAATACATCAGAACGGATTGTTCCAAGTGCACTAGCCGTAGTATCACAGCCTTTTACGTTTACAAATAATCCTACGTCAGGACGACAGTGTAATTAGTGGTAAAATACAGCTGGACGCGGACGGGCACGAGGTTGACATACCCCAGCCGATGATGTAGAACGCGATGAATTTGGGCTTGCCGAACACGGCCGACGACAGCAGGCTGTTGAGGTACATGCCCTCGATGAACATCCAGGCGAACGTACAAAGTCTCGTGTATTCTCGGAAGACCTCAAGGGTGACGCACAACGGCGGCTGGTGGAGGAGAGGAAGAAGAAATAAAATACCCGATCAAATTACTTGCTGGTGGAAACCGCCAAACTGGGCCAAGCTGCGATTCGCCCCACAAATCAGACCCGGCCGTAAAGGAAAAATATTAATTTGTGAGCCTCGATAGGGCGTCTGTTTTTATGCAGTAACACTTGATCTGGATGATTCGATTCCTCATATCTAGTCTTAGTTTACCCCAGAAACAGATCGCGAGTTATTCCGTGCAGGCGACGGCTTAGATTTCTGGTGCAAATCATTCCACTGGCAGCCACGGGGGAGGGGGGCTGTTCAACTGATCACCATCGAGCAATGCATGTGGGTCGACGGAGAACGATCAATTAAGTCTACATCCCTGCGTCGATATTACAGTGGAGGCGAATAAAAGCAATTTCCCTTCGTGTTATTTTAAGCGATTAGAACATTCACTACTGAAATCGAAATACCTTTAAATAGGCTAGAGTGAAAAAGATACCGTAAGGCTATAGGTTCACCTGTTTGCAAACTGTTACACCAAAGGCGCGCATATTTTGCTTCGTTAATTCCAAATACGGAAATAATATACCACAAAAACTGATAAGTGAATCAGTATCAATATTGTAATCTTTTAACAACTTTAATTTACAAATTAACTCATTAACAAATTTGCAAAACCAAAATCTTCTTTACCATGTTTAAATTTTGTTTTAAGACAGAAATATGATTATGTCCTGGAGCTAAGCAATTACATTTGTCACATTTACTACACATGTGACCACCATTCCAAATCATTTACGTTTAACTATTAATGTCCCAGAGTCTTAATTCTCATACTTCAAAGTATTCAAAATAGAAAAAGTCTTTCAGAAAGACTTGGTAATACGTAGTTACCAGGAAATGAAAGTTGTAGAATTTCCTTTGCTCATATAATTATAATTTTCTAGATTATTTGTGTTTAACCCTGTCTTGAAATGGTCATATGATACAGAAGGTCCTTGCACAGTACACTGTAGAAGACTAATCACACCCATGTCACCAGACTGGTGATATACGTGCTTTATGCTTTGGCTGGTACCCAGCTGTAATACAGAGCCCAGATTTCAAGGAGCTGACCATTAAGTGACCAGCCTGAGATGCAAATAATGTAATTATCAAATATTTTATGCTTGGTAAATTCTTTTGTGCTCCTTGCACCTCCATGAAAGAGAGGCACCATGGTGTGTTTCTCCAGAAGTCGACGCGATTGCTTACTGTTCTCGAGATAAAGGTCTCGGCGTAGCCCACGGCGGCCTGGGTCCGCTCGTAGAACCCGTTGACCATGAGGATGATCTCGAACGTCAGGCGGGCGATATAGGCAGCAAACAGGTGCTTGTGGATCTTCGTCCGGTGGCACTGGAGACTCCTGATAAACGGTAAAAATATAAATACCCCCTCCAGAAAGGAAAATTAATAAACCCTTCTTGCAGCTCTAACCCAAGCCGTTGCGGCCTCTCGATAAGAAAACGTGATAGTGAATTTCTCGTTGGCACTTAAAATTAGAGTAGAACCCATCTGCTGTACTCTTTCTTTTTTTCCCTAAATTTGTAAAAAAAACCAAAAATAGATATATGTCAATGCTCTTCGGTATTCTGTTACCTCGTTAGTTTGAAGTTTTCCATTCTCTAAGGCCATCACATATTGAAAAGTGTCAATACTGGCTGCACGGTTAACTGTACGGTGTTTTAATAAAAGCATCACTCGAGTGCTTCTTTACAGATGACTCGCAAAGTCAAATTTGCATCTAGAAGTATCTAAGCTGTATACTTGTCCCAGTTTTGGCATTAAATTATATGAACTGAAAAGTTACAACACGAATGTTTCAGTGTTGGTACCGCAAGATGTTTTGTGACTATAGTCCTGCGGGAATTATGCAGTTTTAACGAACCCGGCCGCTACCGGACAGCCTTTTCATGAGTAAAGTAAATAATGCTATTATTTTATTTGATTCGTTTTCGTTCGGTCAGTGTACAGAAAAAAATCCCCGAAAGTTAGTACGTTCCGACAAAAGCTCGTTTAATAAATTGCACTAATATACTTCAGAGTGAAATGACCATATGCTTTGAGCAACGTCTGGAGTCGAGTTTAATTACCCATCGATCAAAGAGCCCTCAAGGGGAATTGCCTGACATTCAACATTTAATCACTCGGATGTCAAACGTACAATTCTGCTAAGACTTTTGTTGGAGTGCTCATAGAAGAACACGAAATATTTACGCTGGCGTATGTCTGGTGAAATCATACTCCACAAGTCAAGCGTTTTCCTTAATTTCCCATCGATCCTAGGGCGGATGAATATCAGAAGGAAATAGAGCAATTCGGTCATGTAACTGCGTTCTTTCTCCCACAGCCACAAACGTCGTTAGGATCACCCGATTCTTAGCAAAGCACACCATGTAGTCCTGGCGGGATTTCATAGTTCATTATCACGGTGCGTCCCTGAGCTTGCATATAATCACCTACATCTGGCTGCAAGGCAATCCGATAATAATTTCGAACATTTAGATCCTTTTTTTCTTTACAGTCACTGATGAACTCCACGATGTGCTAGTTGAACTGAACGCTAAAGGCTATTGAGGGGGACAAACGCTGCATCAAAACAAGAAAAATGCCATAGAATGATTTGCCAGTCCATTTCTTATTGCCTGTTTTTCATGCACCAGATCGAACCTTAAATCCCCCCCATTTTACAAAGTAATTTTATCACTAGTTTTGACTTTTTTCAAGAATGGTTTTACTATCAATTCGATGCAAATGGAGCAGATTTGATTATCACTTGTGCAAAACAGGTAACTGCCACTCAGGTGTGGTTTTAGTGACGCAAGGCAGGAAAACTGATCGATTAATTTATAGCTATTCCTAAGTACAAGTACATTCCACAGGTCTTAATACTCTTACCAAACAAGTAGAGCAGTAACTCGGATGGAATTTGGACTCGATCTCATCCATATCTGTGACATCCCCTTAATACATGCTGCAGGATTATCACAAAGTATGTAACTAGGCTACTGCAGAACTGTCTTTGGAAAATGAACGTTGATTTTACATCGTCGCGTCTGTCAAAATTTTTACTGGTCATTCCTTTATCGTCTTAGCTCCTTAGAGAAATTTTAATAAGGCCTAGATTATCCATTATCCCTCAATTTGTGTCGAGACTCCAGTGTAGGTATTTCTATATATTCCGATTATGTATTGAGCATAATTGAAAGTGTTTAGCATTTAGATTGCAATTCTCCTTGTACTGGTGAGTTCAGCAGGCCAATTTATCATTCAAAAGCATAAATGGCAGATGGTGAGGTAATGAAAAAAAAAGGACGATCAGCCTTTACTGGCTTAAATTTGATCTTGTCGAGACTTTCAGGGGCAAAAATTAGTCGAAATGACGCTAAAGTGTCCTGCGATCGAACCTTCTGATCTTTTATTTCAACCTCACGGTGACCTCTCACGCCCTCAATCAACCAGCATCCCAGAAACGCCTTCGAATCTCGGCCGTTGGAAGCCTTGTCATATAATCGATGATGGAGTGCCAGAAATCCACAGCATATATGAAAGGAAGCGGCCTAAAATGGTGCTGTTTTCCTCTCTGAAATGGACTGACCTCATGGGCCTTTTCGGTATGTATACCACATTTCATTCCTGTTAATTTAAATGGATTTCCACAATCAACGCGTACAGACAATCACGTGCACTGAAAACGCATGCATAGGCGTCTTGAAAGTACAGTCCATAATTTGTCATTTATGCATTACATTCCTTTGAGGCAACAGACGTGATCAAAATTTAAGAAGGGTGCCCGACAACTAACTTGATGGAGTTTCAACCGAGAAAACGTATTCACGGATCTTGATTTCAAATCAAGAAATACAGATTCATGGTTTGGACTGTGCCTGAATTCAGCGACCGGGACGGGATATCGTGCACCGAACCGACGATGGTACAGCTGAGGCGTCTTCCCATATGCCCCTCAACACTTGTGACAAGCATTGGGCATCCGTAAAAATCGATCCCGGGGCGATTTTGACTGCTGAACGCAACGCACACGTGTGTTATGTTAACGGAGTCGATTTCTGTGTCCGTGAACGTGAAATGCGTAAACGCATCGTCTGCGTAACGCACTCCAAAAACGCACATATAGAAATGCGCCTTAAGCGTCGTGTCTGTACGTTTGCGCCCACTTCGCTGAATTAAAAGCGAAATACCGGTGAGAATTTCCAAAATAAGTGCGTCTTTGAAAATGCCTTCTCTGACGGAAAGAACAGTTTCACATGAAGATAAGCACCACAACCATCTTCAAACCACGAGCAAATGTTATTCATTATTCAACAATATAATGTCGTCAGCTTTTTTTGGACGACTGCAAACGATAGACCCTTTCTTTTGACCCGTCTGCCAAAGTTAACAAAAGATCACAGCTACAGTGCAGAGAAATGGCAAGGTCGCAGAGTGCTTGATCCAATCTCCGCATGCCTCACAGCTTCATCAGTCTCCCTCAACCATGCATACCCATGAAACACCTTGCTACCTCTTCACACACAAGTATTTCTCCCAATAAAAATCTTCACATTATAGAAGAGAACCAAGCATTTATCACACCGGATTAGCGACCGGTCCAAACGAGGCGACGAGTGCTGTTGAAAAATCGGCGTTTGAAGAAGCCGCTTATTAAGGACACTTAGACGAACATCCACTTTTTTCCCGTGGAAACAGGTCGGTATTCCCCACCACAACCTCCCAAACCGTAGTCAATGAAGGTTGTGGATTTGTAGAGAACAGCAGATATTTGATCGGTGAAGACGAGCTATAGTTAAAACATCAGGGGCACTTGAGTTACGAAAAGAGAAATGTTGCCTGGAAGAAACGATAACAATTGAGACAAACCAAATCGAATTATTTCTGCACAAAATAATGGGAAATGTGATTCCGGTATTTACTTAGAGGTTTGCAATTGCTTACAACTTTGTACTGTGCCTCGGAGATCCGCCAAGATCAGATGGGCAGCCAAGCTTTCAGGCTATGCAAGGGCAGATACTGCTGAACTGTCGCCATGCACCCCCCCCACCGCCCTCCATTTTGATTAAATAATAAAAACGATTTATCTTTTTATTTTTTCATTTACCGTCTTTCAAGAAGCGTGTAATAAGCTTACCCCTAAGAGAGGCCCGAGAGGTTACTTAAAAATTTCGCACTTCTTGGCGTCCCCGAAAATTGATCTCCCAACCAAAAAAATAGAATAAATATTTTAAAGAGTTACTCTTGACATCAGTAAGATATACCGTAGTCGATTAGGGATATTTTTTTCATTATTCGGTGCTTCAATGTAATCTTAGAATCCTGGTTTTGAATTTATAATCTATTTTCCTCTCCACTTGTTTTCTTTCCTATGAGCTGCGCGATTTTGCCCTTATATTCGCCAGCCCGTTACATTCTGCTAAACTCGTCGCCCCCATACGCAGAACGAGAGAAGGATTTATATGTATACTCCCAAGGGTGGCAGCCTATGAGAGCTGAAGCAATAGCCAATGCCGACCGACTTGTAACGTGAATGCCCCACTCTTATGGGGGGAGGTTGCATGGCCCATGGAGTTTACAGTTTACTGAAAGGAAGGCCTGGGTGGAAGGCAATAACAGAAATTCCAGCTGTTTTTAATTTGGTTTGGTTTGGTGTGGTGTTGTGCGTTGTGGTTTGGTTTGGTTTGGTTTGGTGTAGTTTGGTTTGGTTTAGTTTCGTGTGGCGTGGTTTGGTTTGGCGTGGTTTGATTTGGTATTGTTTGGTGTGGACATTTGGTTCTTAAATTTGGATATTTTACAGTAAAGTGGAAATACAAAAATTACGTGGAAACACAATTTTAAAAATGCCATCAGATTTCGGACTTGCAATACACCAAGTGAACTGTTATGTTAATGCTGATTATATGGTAGCAAAACATCATCAATGGCGAATTGTTTAGAAGAACGTAATGCTGGATATCAGACTGATAATTACAGCCAAAACATAAAAATTGAAAGGCCAAAGACAATACACTTCTACTACGGCAGGATGATAACTTTCAAGTGTAGAAGGTCTGATGTGCCACCTTGTACATGTACATCTTGTGCCTACCTTGTGATGTAAAAACAACAGCACAGCGAAAAAAGGGGCATAAAAGTACAGAAGCCTCCAGAGCCATACCTGAAACAGCTGAAGACTAAAAGGGCGAGGACCAGGCTACAGAAGGAGAGGAAAAGACCCACGATCTCCATAATCTTTGCTCCGTGGATGACGTCAGTGTGGAACTGGGCAAAACGGCATCAAAATTCGAGTAATTCAAGACAGTTTGGGTTGTGTAAAAACGAATGAATAAACTACTGTACATACATGTATTCTACCGCCATTCCGCCGTCGTTGTGGCTTCATTGGCCGTGCACATACCCTATTGGATCTAAGAGCCTCAAATAAATGCTGCCACCTAGTGGTGCGTCCGGGCCCAAAGCTGATAGTATCGTTCCTAAAATGTTGGTGTTTTCAATCTGGGAAAAATGGCGGCGGAGTATACTTGTATCAGATCTGTACACAGAGAGAGAGTACCGCCAACTTCACACTTTGGAACCAAAAACGCTGTTATTATGTGTGCAAATCCAACTGTGAGCCATTGTCCTAATTAATTGCCCATGTGTACTGACGCATAATCCACCATTTTGGTTCCAACAATTGAGACGGTCATGTCGCAATTCTATCTATTGACATTTCTGCCATGGAAACGTAACTACTGCCACCATGTGGCGCTGGCCAAAGTGTGTGCGGACCTAAGGACTTACTTTATGTTTACAAACGCGTTAACCTCTGCGTCGATGAACTCTGAAACTTGACGTGGGTCGCTTTTTATCTGTTGAAGTTTTACATTTTAACATGATAGAAACATAGGTCACTTATGAGCCTCGAATCAAGATGGCTTATTTTTGAGTCGTTGTAGTTTTCTGTCATTGATATCTTAAGATTGAAACCGGTTTACTATCCTTACTTGAATTTGCTCCAATGAAGCATTCGTTTTGGTGATGCCTTTTTCGCTGAGGCAGAGGTCGTAGTTGACCTGGTCCCAGGTGCCGTCCGCGTTACAATACATTTTCACGAATTCTGAGAAAGAAAGAAACGATCCTTTGTTGAGAACTTTTACCCTCAGCAGGGAGGAAAAAAGGCAGTGGAGTGGCCAAGAAGGCCAAAGTTGTTGGATAAACCAAACCTTTAATTCCTCCAATAATGTGGTCTCCAGCTACCACTGAACCAACATTTTAAAAAAAAAATTCAAAACGGAAATATATGTTCAAGTGTTTACGATCATAAATTATTTTCATGATAAACATATTTTTTTATAAATCACATGCCACAATGTTGGTAGGGACAGTCAGGGTTTGGGGTAAATACATGCAGAGTGTAGATCAGACCCGGCTGTTATGTGGGAATTGCCACCATATGCGTTCCTCGCGCCAAATTGAACAAATAGACTATTTGCATGCTGCATGCGAGCAAAGTTCTGAGCAGCTTCAGCATACTTTAGGCACAGTCACGTCGAGAACTTGACGTCCTTGCTTAGACTGAACGTTTAATACAGCACTCAGGGTACTAAAATATCCTGCCTTTTTATATCGTCTCCTGAGATCAACTCTCGACGATAAGATTATTTTAAGATCTTTTTCACTTATCTTTCCCACCGTTTTTCACCCACGAAGTCGCTTGTGCAAACATCTGCTGAGTGCGCGGTGCGGCCAAAGATCGCGGGAGTCTGCGCGCGACGACTTTCACAAAGAGGCCCTGTAGTATCTCGCCGGCTCTGAGCTTGTGTTTCTAGGATTTTCAGAAATGTGCTGTCACCTCCAAAATCTCGTGGTTGATCACAGACTTCTCATCCAGAGTGGACAATTCATAACTAGGCGTGGAAATGCTGCTTGAGTAGTATACTCACTATACCTTCTACACTTTCCTTAGAATTACGTTTGAATTTTTTAAATAGTCTTAAGTGTCAAAGGTTTGACCGGTACCATCTACCATTCCCTCATCGTCATGCTCTCCACTTTGTCAAGCCTTTTGTTCTGTGTTTCAATTTTACAGACTTCGAATTTCAGTCACAGATGTGCACACCAAAAAACACAGCTTTTCAATTAGTCCTTAACCTGTTAACCTCTATATGCTTACATTATGTCAAGATATAACCTCCCAATTTATTTGGCCCATTGTAATTTCACCTTATTGTATTAAAAATATAATTAAATGACAAAAAATTGCTTCAAACTACTCACTAACAAGACTGACTTCAAATGTGAGGTCAAAAGCTAGAGGGACTGACATTTCGATGCTAGAAGATAATTTCGAGAGCATACAGCATTCCGATAAGGTTGCAATGTCAGACAGTCTTCTTTAGAGTTCTAAAAATCCCCATCCCCTCTGTTTCCCCGATAAATGGACCACTTGTATGCACTTTCACCAAATATTCTCAGAACCTTTCTAAACAAATCCCTCTTGATTCACCAAGCCGACTACTCAAAACAGAAAGCCGTTGTTTGAGTTCCATGGAACATCCCTCTTCGCTTGCTGCCTCTCTTTTCTTTATTTTGAAACCCATTCCAAACTCACACCCAGACTTACTGGAGGTGTCGATCTGTGGAAATATCTTGGGGCAGCGCATGTAGGCTGTCGTATTGACCCGCGATGCTACCCAGCACATCGTGCCGTCGTAGAAGACGGGGCATTCCAGTTCTTCTGCAGGAGATACAAACCAACATTCAGGATTTTTAATAAAAACACGTTTCGCTCCTCAAGTGAACTTGACCACTTTAGGTGTTTTCATCCAGTCTGATGACTACTGCATGCGACAAGTTAATATAGGGCAAGAAGAAGAACAAGAAATACATGTCGGAAAAAAACGAGACCACAAAGTCACAGCACAAAGAAGTTCATTCAAAAAGCGGTTTCCTGTATTCAACTATCTCGACGAGATGTGTCATTTTGTTTAGAGAAACTGCAAGGTTAAATGGGGGTGGTATTTGGGGTTTCAAACCTCACTTTCGGTTATTCTTAAATTTAGCTTAAAACAGTTCGATATAATTTATCTCAAATTCTATATCTTTCTAACCAAAACCGTTGCATGAATTTGTATGAACTTTTATTTCGTTACGGTTAGTTTTACTCTCAGAATCCCCCAAAATTAGGTACCTCAATTTCAATTCAAGATGGCCAATGCAATCTGTTGGCTTGAAATACTACCAATTTATCTTTCACTAATCTAACAGTTTACATTTACCACCAATTTGTCCATAATGCTCAGGTACCATTCACCGACAAACTAAATGTGGTCATAGGGGCACTAACAACGATGTTTTTTAGCAGGAAAATAATTCTCAGCGCCAGGTGTTGAAGGAGGCCTCCAATAAATCGATAAAAATACCTAGGTGTAATCTCTGCTTATAATCTTAAAATAGTTGAATTGAACAAACCGGGCGTAATTTACAAAGTTATGTTACCTATGATGTCGGATATCCAACACGTACAGCAGGAAAACAATGCACTAAATCTTAGCATGTTTGTCAGGTTGTAAATGTCAGACTCGCTTACGAATGTCCACGGGTAGATGAGGAAGGAACTTTTATTTCATCTTGGAAATTTCCTAAATGATATACATTTCACTGCAAGACTGGGATGGACTATCTACCCGGCTCCTCCACGGAGGAATCTCAATCCAAATATACAGCAAGAGCGTTGGACGTCCACAGTGGAAGCGATATACTCGACCGTCATAAATAATTATCGAAAAGTATTTCCAAAACAAACACGCGACTAGGAACGGCTGTGTTTATTTCCCGTCCGCGGGGGCCGTAAATCCACGAATCGTCACTTTGTTTCACTCAGAGGATTTCTTCCGCCTCCTCCTGACCAGGGAGCTGAGTCGAATTCCTGACTTGCGAGCCGGTCATAAACAGCTTCTTTTATATTAGAAGAAGACGTGATATTTTGGTTTGGCGCTGGAGCGTTGCAGCGATGATTAAACGGGGAGAAAAGGAACAGGGTTTTTTTTTTTTGGGGGGGGGAGAAAACGAAAATTAGAAGGATTCTTCCCACCAAAATATTTCCCGTTTGAAATGTCATGGCCTGCTCACACAAGTTGAACCATTTCGCTGAGAGAGTGCACGGCTTAATGATTACCCGTGACCCCGCAAGGCTGGCGTTTGCTGTAAAACACGAGTCACGACAGCTGGCTGGAATCACTTGTACAATTTGCGCGTGCTCCAGCATCAAACCGTTGCTTCAGAGAACGGAAAAATGGTGCAGTAAGATGGCTATATTGGAGCTGATTGACAAACAGATCGAGAAATCGCATCCGGGCGGGGCACTTAAGCTTCAAACTCTGATTGGTCTCTTGTTAATTGACAGTCAAGAGAAGCCAAGGGAAAAGACGGGGGGGACACAACCCCCGAAGGATTACAAGTCCTGAACTACTGCCGGACAAGCTCAACAGACTTGGGACACAATCATCAAACGATCCAACCCAGCTGCTTTTTAACCCAAGTTTTAAAATTCAGCGCAACGCACCCCCAAGCGTGGAGGGGCTTGCCGTTTTACCCGGTGGCGCCAAAAAGCAATTTGCGCGGGCTTTCAGCAAACACCCCTCACTGTCGTCTACACCCCTCGGCCAGGCCAATCAACAAGTAATCAGCAAGCGCGCACGCGCGCTACGAGTACAAAATCACACTGGATGCCAAACTCTCGGAATCCTTTTAAAGGAAACAAGAAAAGAATGGCCGTAAGTGCGTAGAAGCGACAAGACTTCGGGGCATCTTGAGGCAAACGAAGCTTTTAACATAAGTCGCTATTCCTTTTCTTTCTTCTGAGTGGTATTTGCCGACAGGAGAGTTGTGGAACTGGCATGTAAGAAAGGAAACGAGGCCACCGTAAGTCAGAAAGTACCGAAAGTAAGGAGGTCGTTTGGACTAAAAACTTATTGTTTCGGTCGCACAAGAGACGAAAACCTCACTCACCGTGAGGGCCCACAAATAAGGCGAGCGATAATGGAGATTCCGCGCGATAACGAATTCGGTCACAAGACTTGGTTTCGTGTAAGAATGTTTGCACTGCTAGTGGGCAGACCGCACAATAGTGGGCCACCACACTTGGAGACATAACAGATTTTCAAGGATAGAAATCCTGACTGGAATTGAGATACTGACTGGCACGATAGAAGACTTCATAATCACTCTACCAATTCTTCGAGTAAGGCGTTATAATATGGTTACATCGGAGTCAATGATCGGCATACGGGACGGTTTCCGCGACGTATCAATCCGGACATATCGCGCTACACATACTTTTCCCGTCACCGCGTTCGGGGTCGGTTATCGCTCGTCTAGATGAGCTATACATTGACAGCTCCCACACATACTCGTGAAAAGGAAGTATGGCTACTATCACGTTACGCTCGATTCAGAATTCTATCAAGGCTACTGTTAAAAAACCTGACTGACAATGAGGGATTTTTTCCTTGCGATCTAGATACCCAGTTTGATGCCCTGAAAACTTGTGAACCTTCATCCCAGGTCTTTATGTTGGGCGCAGCATTCCGTAAAAACACCGCGCATCTCAGCCTTTTCATCTCTCCCCACCCCTTTGACATTCTAGCATATTTTGTAGGTAGGATCTTGTCAGCAGTGATTTTCCGCGGCTCCAGTCTGCCATCGATATCAAAGAAAGAGAGACAGGAAAAAAACCGGCGCCGTGTCCGTGTTTTCGTGTCGGGTTTCATTTCGTGGCGCTGTAAGAGTTTTCATCGAACGCCCTTGCAACACGGGCATGTAGAAACCAATTCCGCCCTTTTTTTGCTTTGCTTTCGGAGCCGATGACGCATGTCAGAAGTATCGGAAAGGAATATTTTGTTTTTCTTTAGAGAAACTGCAACCCCTATCAAAACCCTATTCTCATCCCACATTTTGTGAAATCTCGGCAGTAGTCAGTGACTGTTTACATCGGAACCGGTGAACTGTCAATCACAAAGTGATCTGCCTCGATCCCAACATATACATCCAAACGAGCATCACGGCCGATACATGAGTTCCTCAAATCCGTAGGCGGGGACCATATACTTCCTCTAAATGATACAAAACAAAGGAGACACAAGAGTTACAGTTGACAATAATTAAATTTGTAATCCAGATGGAAAGACCGAACGAGCAATAATTGTAATGGGTGGATAGAAGGCGTCACTTCACAGGTCATCTCCAATGCGGGGTTATCGTTTCTGATCTCAGGTTTAAACCCCTATTGCCGACTTGAACTGCCTGTGGAACCGTCCTCAGTTTCCCCTTCGCATAGATTGCAAGTTGGGCCAGTTTCGCGGCTAGGCCCAATCTTTATCATGTCAGACCTCGGATATCCCTGACCCCAAGCCGACTCAGAACGGTAATTGGTTGACCCAATTTTGAAAGCGACTAGCGGCATGTTGGGCTAAGATAGCATAGCCGCCAGCAGTCGACCGATTGCTTTGAAGACCGGTACAGCAGCTTCCCAAATTACAATCCTGAGTAGGAGTTTTGAATGTTTGGAGTATTTGAGTACTTTGAATATTTGAATTTTATCATTGACATACCTAACATTCAAACAGCTTTCTACATTAATGTTACGCACAATGTCTTCACTACCTGCATTAGCTTAATTCTTTCTGTTCACTCGTGAAGAGAAGAACAGACGTCTGTGGCGGTGATTCCACACTGTCCTATAGCGTTATTGTGTTTTTCCTACGTATGCTGCTTAGTGGACTATAGGCTCCCGCTAGCGCTGGCTCCATAGGAAAGTTAACATGTCAACAAAGATTGACGTCACCATAGCACATATGCCTATATACATCTCACTGACATCTGGATATTTTTTTCTTGGATTCATTGTCCTCTATATTATATTCTAATAATTTAATTTTATTATTTATCATTATCATTTGTATTCAACATACATTGAAATACATTGAAATTCGTTGTTAATACGGTTCACATATCACGGTCAGAATTTAAAATAAAAAAAGATAAGTTTATGCTGCCAGACCTAATGGGCGCCCTCCAGCGGCGTCTTCAACCAACTTCGTCGACCACTTCTTAAGCGCAGTGTTTGTATTTTTAGCCTAGTTTCACCGGTATGGGGCCCTTTATATCAACCTACTTTTTTTTTTACAAAGGTGTCAATGTTTGAGCTTGCTACACTCAATCATGGAGCAAGGACCCCTTGTATTTATGCATTGTGTCGAAGTACGCATGTGTCAGGACTCAGCCAACCACTGGGGTACCGTAAGTCGAACACTGTTTAACGGCGCGAGTTCAGAAACACAAAGAGACCACATGGTTTCAACTGAACCGGTTCGAACTTCATTATTTGTTGTCAAGCATGTCATCCGTATTACTATGACCTGTTACGGGGTCCTTAAACCTTCCCACCACCCATGTGACATAATTAAATATACCTCCCGGCATACCTGGGTCAGATATACACGGCGGGAGAACTGTTGATGCAACATGCAGGATCCCACGACACCTTTTTGAATTCCCTCGGTGCCATCCCCGGTATTTCCATCGGCCGTGTACTCAACTATTCTCGGGATTCTCGGTCACTCTTATATAAAGATGCTTCTGTCTGGAAGGAGGCGTCAGGGGACTAGTGCGATTCAGCGGACCCGCTTGAGGTGTCGAGTAAGAGAAAGAGAGAGACAAATGGCTCCAGCAGCCAAG